TAACTCAGCCATTGATTCAGATCTACATCACTCACTATCTTACTGATTCCAGAAGTAAATCAATTGATTTTTCTTATTGATTAAAAAGTTTTAAACATCAACAGTCCATTCAAACAAGATGTTCACATCACATCAAATTAATACAAACTTGTTTATTGATTTAATTTTTCTTTGATTGGATTTCAGAGGTTTATATGTCAGTTTCGTGTTGATTGGGAATAAAGCAGAAATCGTTATAAAATGTCTGGTATATTTACTTTCTATCTGCATCATCATTACTAGGCATTATCATGAGTTTTAAATGGTTTTGAATGAGATTGAATTTCATGTATAAATTTGTTTCTGCTAGTTAGATCGATTCTTGTTTTCTTTTTCTTTGCACAGTCAGTCAGTTTACCTGACTATTTTGTATCTATAGAGAGGCAAATTATAATGATCAAATTCTTAAATTAACCTGATACAACTTAGGACAATAGATGCTTTATTGGAGGAATTAAACATTGCCACATGTTTTTATAATGATCATTTCCAGCAAAGTTTATCAAGAAAATTGATATCAAACTTAACATTTTAAAACAACTTGACTCAAGTAAATATTATTTAAATTCTTCTTAGAACTTCTTACTTAGCCATAAATGTCAAAATAGATATGATTTATAACAGATCTTATACATGTTTTATTTTAAATACAATATCATCTCAGGGCATCTTCCCTATAATGTTAAATATAATATCTTTATTTTAAAGACAAAACAATAGGGATAGTATGTGTTTTAACTTCATAAAATCATAGACTCCCTCTCTGGATGGTTAATAATTTATCAGTCTATAATAAATTCATAAACACTACTCTTTGGCAGATATTTTAAAATGTGTCATTAAATTGGTGTGACACTTCCACTTTCAGAAATCTGGTGTTTTTAATTTCATATAAATATTTCTAAATTATATATGTCAAATATTATTATCATAACAAAAGAACATTTTTAAGTGCCACAAGAATTCGAAATGGCCATGTAAATTTAACCTTTAAATAATATGACACTAATCACACAAACTTACTAACTGCAGGAAGGGAAAAAGGGATTAACCCTGTTGTAACAAATATACCCTATATAATATATATTGTAAATCTATAATTAGAGAGGAAGAGATTATACAATGAACATGTTGAACATGATAGTTGTAATCAAATCACATCATGTTAAATAGCTCAAATTGTAACCAATGAAAAATTCTCCAGATCGCAGTTAAAAAATAAATATTGATTGTTTTGAGGGCTTTTTACATGTGCATGTAAAGATAGTTTGCCAGGCAAGGTAATATACGCCCACTGGCAGCTTTGATTTTGAATAAAAATATTTAGCAGTACAGTAACAATCACCAGTATGAAATATTCAACCTTCAGTCATAGACTTCTTTTGAACTCTTTAAGTCAATACTGACTAATATTGAGTATGAGTTATTGCCCTTGTTCCTGAAAACGTGTTCAATTTTTAGCTTGTGAAAACTCTGAAAGGCAAATATTCAATCTTCAGCGCGGGACTGAATAATAAAACCAAGTTTTATCAAAATCCAGCAAAAATCCTGCCTTTTAGTGTTTTTTTAAGAGCTAAATTTGAAAGCGTTTTCGAGAACTAGGGCAATAACTCATACTAAATATTTTTCAATTCTTCCGATTGTCAATATAGTTCATCCTTGGTTGATAACAAACACTCATGCCAAGTTTCATTAAAATCCATCAAGAATTGTGTCTTCTAGAGTGTTTACGAGCTAAAAATTGAACATGTTTTCAAGAACAAGGGCAATAACTTATACTAAATATTTTTCGATTTTCCTGATTTTCAGTAGGGTTCATCTTTGGGTGATTACGAACACTCACAGCAAGTTTCGTCAAAATCCGTCAAGATTTGTGTCTTGTAGGGTGTTTACAAGCAAATGTGGACGGATGGATGGACGGACCGACCAACCGACCGACATGGGTGACGGCAATATACTTGAAGAATTGAATATTCAAGGCAGGATTTTTTGCATGCATTCTAATTTGAAATTAGTTATCATAATGTTTAAAACATGTTGAAAATCTTGTCTTTATAATTGATAGTGTGAAATAGAGAGGGATTTGATAAATAGAATGATTCATTGTAGAATTAAAGGTAAAGTCATGAAAAAACATGTTTTTATTAACAACAGATGCACATTCATGTTCATGCACTTTATCAAGCATGATATTTATGTTTTACACACGTTTCTTGACATGTTTCACATGTATCATTTTACTAAGATCTAAAGATTAAACCAGCCTAATAAATACACATTTGAAAATTTTAATTTCATGAAAGGGGCACTTATGAATTCTTCTTTCTCAAAATGAATGTTTGAATTTGGTATTATTATAGCTTTTTACAAAGATCATCAAATTTTTCAAAGCAATCTCAATGCTGAAAATAATCCTCTGCTAAGGATAATACTAAAGTTTCAAAATCAGCAGTGCATTTAGTGAACATACATTGGAAATCATCTTTGTAAGACTGACTCATGTTGATTAGGCAATGCTGGCTTACACATGCAGAACACCTTATGTTATTTTATGATGTTTTTCTCTTCCATTGCTAAGCAACTGCATATAGTTAAGCTGGGGTTTGGGTTAATTATAACAATGCCTTATTCAAGTCAGTTTTACTTTTACTTTGTAGCCCACAGTTGCTTAATGAATAGGAGTACTGATTATGAGATGACCCAAAGGTCAATGTATATCAGACAAATATCATGATATACTAATATACAGACTTTGTTTATAAATACTGTCATAATTAACATAGGTCAACCTGCTTTTAATATACAAAATAAAACTTTTGTTTATTTTTACCTTGATTAACTTTGACCTTTTAAAATCTGAGGTTAATTTTTACATGAAACAGATTCAGAAATAAAAGACTTCTGGTAATATCAACAGAATTTAAGTAAACTTATATTTCTATCTAGTCTGCAGATCATACTATCACACAGACAAATTTTCAGAGCTTTAGGCTGTAAATCTATGTAAATCTAATATAATATTTTTAGCTTCATAAGCAGAAAATCAATGTTGAATTATTCTTTTTTAAAAGCATAAGATTAAATAAGAAAAATACTTTTTGGATCCAAGATAGTAAAACAGTGAAACCTCATTCTATAAGTTTAAAGATAATGCTGTGTTTAATGCCATGATTATTAACCAATTTATAAAATAGCATTTCAATATTTTCTAATACCTTATACACATTAAGAGTAGTCAAGTGGTCCCTGGGGCAGATATGATAATCATTATAACCTATCAACCGACTAAGAACAGACAGATTGTATCAAGCTGGAGATACAAGTCCTTGTAGGTTGCTTAATACTAATAATAGTTTCTATGCCACCATGCAACTAGAGGGTATCAAAATTAAACTCATTGAAAGGATTAAATATCAATAATGAAGCACAACCATTTTTGTGTACATTATCAAATGTGTCTCTTTCCCTTTAAAGATTATAACTTTAGAACTATCTCCCTATACAAACTCATTAGACCATAATCATTATTACACAGAAACAGTCCCAACACACTATTATTGAGTCTTATTCAATACTATTATATATATTGAAAGATTGTTCAGATTTTATTACCAATACATAAATACGCCCAAAAATTACTATTAGAAAAATATACAGGGGTAAGCTTTAATATTGACAAAATAAAATAGGGTCCACACAATGTCTCATCAAAATGTAAAGTGGCACTATAAGCAACTTTTAGATTGCTACTGTGTTCCATTAACTTTCTAAAAATCATAGCTTTACCAGAATAATTTCCAGGCCATGTATTCTAGTAAGGATCTTAATGCTAGGATATCCTAGAAACAGTGTTAGAGGTCAAGACCCTAGGACATTCTTGACTCTAGCGCTAAGGCTTGTTTTGACCAAGGCTTTAAAGACTGGTTTTAAAAAAATCAAATATTTCGTCACCAATGAACTATTATGTAATTGTTTGAGTATCAATGTAAATATTTCAGTCATCAAAGATACCCAAGAAGTAAAAATCAGTATTATCTAACCTAAGACTAGTTAAGACATATTTCTTAATATAATACTACTGAGTATAATAAATGATAATGTACTATTTGAATGTAGGTAATATTATATAATAGAGTGTTAGGTAAGAATTATATCATACTATACACATTCATACTACTCATTATCAATCATTATAACAGCCAATTTAGATTCAGCTGATATAACTTTTAAACAAATCTGCAATGAACATTTTACAGTTAAAAAATATCAAATGAATATTATTATACAATTTCATCTCTATATACAGGTTATTTGAAAGGAATGTCAAGCTGAATCACCTAGCCTTTTCTTGTGTTTGGAAGAATCAGCACGCCATGTTACAAACAAAGTCATAATTTACAACAAAAATTTCAAAGCTTATACAATGTTCATAAATGTCTGTATATTTTGCACAGACTGAAAAAGTAGCGACATAATTGAAGTATTGGTTAGTTTCAATGCCAACTCTCAGAATTAATAACAGATTTACAGATCAATTTCATAATCTACTTATAACCAGTATATTTTAGTCTTCCAATTATAACTAGTAAAACTGCTAGGTTTCTAATAAAACCTATATGAAACTGACTTTGAATAAGTCAACCTAGTCTATAAATGGACAGTCTATTAAGACATTTGTTCCATAGAAAAAGCCATAATCCTGACATGTTAGAAAATTGAGATAAATCCAATTCTTCACAACATAAATTTGACTTTGAACTCCTAAGGCCAATTTAATGTTGCTGTCAAAAATACAACTAAATCACAATGCTTACAATGCAAGACTTCGACACCAAGTAAAGGGTCCTGATCTCCAAAATATGACATTTGTACCGATAACAAAAACTATTAACTATTACATACCGGTAACAAAAACTACTAAATATGACATACTAGTTACAAAAACTACTATATATGACATACTAGTAAGTAACAAAAACTGCTAAATATGACATACTAGTTACAAAAACTATTAAATATGACATACTAGTAACAAAAACTACTAAATATGACATACTAGTTACAAAAACTATTAAATATGACATACTACTAGTTACAAAAACTACTAAATATGACATACTAGTTACAAAAACTATTAAATATGACATACTAGTTACAAAAATTACTAAATATGACATACTAGTTACAAAAACTGCTAAATATGACATACTAGTAACAAAAACTACTAAATATGACATACTAGTTACAAAAACTATTAAATATGACATACTAGTTACAAAAATTACTAAATATGACATACTAGTAACAAAAACTACTAAATATGACATACTAGTTACAAAAACTACTATATATGACATACTAGTTACAAAAACTACTAAATATGACATACTAGTTACAAAAACTATTAAATATGACATACTAGTAACAAAAACTACTAAATATGACATACTAGTAACAAAAACTACTAAATATGACATACTAGTAACAAAAACTACTATATATGACATACTAGTAACAAAAACTGCTAAATATGACATACTAGTTACAAAAACTACTACATATGACATACTAGTTACAAAAACTACTATATATGACATACTAGTAACAAAAACTGCTAAATATGACATACTAGTTACAAAAACTACTAAATATGACATACTAGTTACAAAAACTACTATATATGACATACTAGTAACAAAAACTACTAAATATGACATACTAGTTACAAAAACTACTATATATGACATACTAGTAAGTAACAAAAACTGCTAAATATGACATACTAGTTACAAAAATTACTAAATATGACAAACCGGTACGGTAAAAAAAAATACTAAATATGACATACCGGTACCGGTAACAAAAAATACTAAATATGACATACCAGTACCGGTATATTGCCCTATCATACCAATTCAATGCATAATGTACAATGAATAATGTACTTGAACTAAACTACATAACTTATTAAAATCTAATATTGCAACATAAAATGACCTAACCATATTGCAATACCCAAGTAAGCTTCCTAGACCAGTTCAATTTTTTACAGTAAGCTCACAACAAAGCTGTTAAATCTGCTAAAATTTCTTGTATTATGTTTGGGTATCAACAGGGGTATTAATTAACCAAGTTAAGGACCTCGTCTGTAATTTAATTATGAAGGATGGTGGTGTCAGTTAGTATCATTATAACACCTCTTGATATTATTTTATTCATTATAATAGCTTGAATAGAATAGTATAATCTAATAATGTAATTAAGGGCCTATCTCACAGGTTGTCATAAATACAATCATGTACCGGTATTTAAAAATATTACATGTTCAATAAATCATGCTTTTCTACACAGGAACAAGCCTACAAGAGAAGTGGCATTGTAGAATTTAAAGTGGAAATATAAGCTCAGGCTTAGTTTTCTTAACTATTTCAGTGGATAAATCACTTGCATTGTACTTTTCTTTATGAAAACCATAAGATCATTCTCTTGTCAGAAGAATAATAAAGTTGTAATAACACAAGTAAGCTTATACATCGATTGACCTTTTCAAAACAATTATGAATATTTAATATACAAATTAACATCTGGATCTTAAATTATAAATGAGAATACAACAGGTGTTCTGGAATCATTCAATGAATAATGACTTTACTATCGACCTTAATTAGTTTACATCAAAGTCATTTTGGATAATATGTTCCTGTAAATGTGCAATCCTGTTGTAGGATATGTCATACTAAAAATCATTTATTGGAAGTGAAAAAAGGTATTTGCTATCTGAAAAAAGGTATTTGCTATCAGAGTAGATTTGTGTGATAATAAAGCAATTTACATAAGCTTATTAAGATCAGTCTTCAAATATTTTTCGTGCTTGACCACTAGATATTAAATCTGGTTATTGAAGAAGATGTCATGAATAATCCTACCACAATTTGATGTGTGGTGAAGAAATTAATAAGATCAATCTATCACCTCGGTAAAAAATAAATGGTTGTTTCCTGTCTCAGAACCAGGAGAGGAATCACATTGATTTTACATGTGGCATGAGACTTTAGCTTTCTTAATTAGATCTAGATGTACTGATATGGAATTTTCTACAAAAAATTATATAGCAAACATCCATTTTCGTTACTACTTGTAACAGAGCTATACTTATACGAGAGTACCATACTATTAGTAATGAATATGTAGGTCTATGATATGGTAAATATTTTTTCTTAAATGCATACCAGTCCATGCTGTCATGGTTAATCATTAACAATTGTAATTGTACCTTAATCATAATTAGTCAATAACTTACCTTGTTATTTTCCAATGCCTCAGCAGAATGGATCTCCTTGGCACCAAAACAAGTCTGGCATTTAGTCTTATTAAAAATATTAGGAACAAACTTCCTACACTTCGAAGCCATTATTTGTTTCGGTTAAAATCTATCCATCCATCATTAGAGCAAAAAAAAAATGCTAACTGTTATCCACAATATTGTATTCAAGAATACCGACACTGACAGTGACACTATAGGCTTGTGTCTATAGACAGTGTAGGCCTATCCGAAACTATGCTACATGTACATTTAATGTAAGTCCACGATACAGGTAGAGTATAATTATTACTCGCAATGAATAATCAGTAATAAAGTGAGGCAACGAAGTGTTAACGAAATGAAAACCAGCCGTTTGTAGGCGGACAATCCTTCATTGTAAAAGGTAAGACGTTCTGTTTAATCTGGCAAGCTTATCTTCTTTGGCAATAACCAATTAGCGCATTTATAAAAAAATAATGAGTAATAAGGCCAAAATGTAGTTCTGTCTTACATTGACATTTTCAGTTCAAATTAGAAATGACATGTACCACAACCTTTACAGATTTTATAGTTTTTGCATTTGAATATAGCTTATCTCGGTGAAAAAAATCAGTTTTTATAAACTTTTTGACAAATTCGCGTAGTAAGCGAATTGTTTATACAAGGGCAGATAACGCAAGTGAAAAAAAGAGAAAAATGTAGCATAGGTTAACAAGACGTAAATTATTTTACGATTATCCAGCCTTGGCCAAGACCCCCCCACAGAAATGATGTCATAAAGGGGATCCCGACTTTGGCACCTTGTCAGGTGTCCGTAGCCATCACATATGCAAAAAATCACTCACAAGTCATCAGTTACGCATTCGGAAGTGTTGAGTTTGAGTTTGAGGACCCATGAGAGAAGAAAATTGTATTCGCCAAGGATTTGGATATTATTGGTCCTTTTTTATTGAATATGCAAGCGTTTGAGTATGAGTTTGCGTTTGAGTTTGCGTACACATGTAATAGCAACCATAAACTGCAAACAGAATAAAAGATAGCTTGCCAAGCAAGGTATTATACGCTCACCATCAACTTTGATTTTGAATAAAAATATTTAGCAATAAAGTAACAATTACCAGTATTCGAAATATTCCATCTTCAGTTTGAATACACTTCTTTCGAATTCTTTAGGGCGAGAAAACGTGTTCAATATTTAGCTCGTGAAAACTCTAGAAGACAAATATTCAATCTTCAGCGCGGCACTGAATAATAAAACCAAGCTTTGTCAAAATCCGGCAAGAATCATGCCTTCTAGAGTTTTTACGAGCTACAAATTGAGCGAGTTTTCAAGAACAATGGCAATAACTCATACTAAATATTTTTCGATTTTTCTGATTTTCGTTAGGGTTTATCCTTGGGCGATAACAAACACTCACACAAGTTTCATCAAAATCCGTCATGAATTGCATCTTCTAGAGTGTTTACGAGCGTTCCAAGAACAAGGGTAATAACTCATAGTAAATATTTTTCGATTCGTCTGATTTTCAACAAGGTTCATCCTTTGGTGATTACAAGTCGAAATCAGTCAAGAATTGTGCCTTGAAGAGTGTTTTGAGCAATTGTGGACGGACCGTCCGGACGGACGGACCGATGGACATGGGTGACGGCAATATACGCTCCACATTTCATGTGGGCGTATAAATACGGACCAGAGCAGATACAGAGCGATTTCTTGACTCTGTGAACGGCTAATAAGGTTCCAAAAAGGGAGAATCTCCGTTATATTGCCATTACTTTGTGGTATTTTCCTATCCTGGTTTGTATAATTGACGTTTTTACTGAATCGTATTAGAAATACGGACATCACGTTGAGCTTGAGTTTGAGCCTCTGTAATTGTAACCGCGTAGGATTGCGTTAGGAACCAAAGAAAGAAAGGGAAATCTCCCACAGTATAAAGAGGACTCATCCCGTTAGAAGCGAACGTTAACTAATTGTCATCTACCTACCTGGCCCCTTTTGGCACTTTAATTGCCAACTGTCCGCAAACGCAAAAAATCGACAACTGAGCTATTTGTTGCGCTTACAGATCCTTTGTACATTGGTAGTTTTGTTTATCACCGAATACGGACACATGTAATCACGTTTTGAGTTTGAGCTTCAGTTTGAGTTACGCTTACATACACAAAGTCATGTTTTCGCAGCTTTATAGGGATATAGTCCTTGCACAGTACGGCTACGCTCATTTCTGTCGGGCCGCGTAATTTGGTCCAAAAATGTTCTTGGGCTAGTTGGCCCAATTATTTCTGGGCATACTAATATGACCACTTAATATTCCAGGTCCCATTAACAAATGATTAATTGTCGTATTGAAAACCCAAAATGCCAGTCAGAAGTGTATGACTAAAGGTTTTAATATTTCATACTTGTGATTGTTTCCGTCCTGCCAAATGTTCTTATCTTATAACAAAGTCTCTATAGTGGGCGTATACTAGCCTTTTTTTTTCAGATTAACCCCAACTACCCTCCACTCCCCTCCCCCTATCATTAACATTAGGCTATATTATATTAATTTATTTGATTTAGTGTTTGGTAAGAGATTGCATAAATAGTGCCATTGGTCATTTGATTATGTGGAAACTTGCTTGTGCACAATACGGCATTCGGTACTGAAATCTCACAGATATCTAATCTCACGCTTGAAAAAAGATACTTCCATAACATATGAAACACGGGAAAACGTGCAAAATGGGGCGTAGCGTAATTGTAGCCGCACAGAAATTCAACAGGTGCTCGAAATGACTTGCGGTCTGGAAACCAGTAGTAATAAGTGAGTTGTCTGCCTTCCTTGATCTACTTTATGGGAAATCATTGTGTAAAATTTGATCGGATAAAAGAAATACTCATTTCACATGAAATCGATCTAAAACTGATCAATTTGGATTTACTGTTGTCTGTTTTCATTGACTGATTCATTTCTAAAAATACACAATTTTCACCAATGGAATTCGAATCTTTTCAAATGTAAACAAATACCATTTCATGAATTAAAATAATTACTCCCAACTACTTTCCATCATGGCGACCTCGGTGGAGAGATCTCCAGAAAGCGGAGAAGATGCTTATTCTACAATACGAGGAGAACTCAAACAGTATTCATTTCAGACGGAACCAGTTCCTAGACTACATCATTTGGACCCTCGAGTCGAAGCTTTAATGAGAGCCGAGGTTTGTAGAAGATACGTGTAATTGACTGTTGTTGATAATAAATATCAGCATGTGTAGACTTTAAATTTTCTCTTCTTGTTTACTTCCTTATGCCTAATCGTCAACCAAAGGCAATAAATATTATTTTTTGCAGTCTTTGTATGTTACAATTTCTCTGACTTAAAGATTGAAATTTGGTTAGATTCGATTAGGATAGATTTAGCTCTGTCCTGGTGTAATTTTGTTGACTATTTTTCTAGCAGACGACAGGATGCTCATGGCGTACGTGACAAACTGCAGCAAATGTGCTAATACGGTCGAATGTTAATATCTTTCTACAACAAAGTAAACACAAACTAACTAACTGTAATTTAATGAGACATTTTTTTCAAGAATGACATTTACATTCATGAACATAATAATCACTAGGTATAATAAACATATAATAAAGCCATTTGGTATTATACAGTGGTGTAACCTATTTTCGTGGATTCAACACCGAATTTCGTCAAAATTAAAAAAACAAAATTTTTTTTTTTATGTCATAGATGTTTCCTCAGATATTCAACAAAATAATTAGAATTGGTTTATTTCGATTTTCTTTATGAATCCTTCACTTTGACCCATATTTCATGAGCAACCAACTCGGCAACGGCGGCAGAATGCATCACCCATTTTCGTGTACAATGTTTGATCTATAAATAAGTCTAGAAAAACACGTTGTATGGATACCGGGTGTTATAATTAACTTCTCTTAGTATTTATCTTTAATATCAATTCATTATATCTAGTGACAATTCCTTCAAAGAACCATGATTTTAAAAAAAATAGTGACTGACAAAATAAGATACGTAGCGTGATTTATTGCTAAAAGTCACTGAAACAACATAAGAATATGGTCCACTTTGTGTTCCATAGAAATTTTCTGCTGACACAAGAATCCGCTAGTTGATCACGTGACTTCATTCGTTGGACTACATTCTAGCAGACGACACTTGGAGTTCCGATTACCGATTGGGATTATAATGAAATTCGGCCGATAAAAAATGGTGACGTTTGGTAATAAGTGAAATCCGCCATTTTGTATTTGTCAAAGTATACATTAATACATTGTACCTTGCTTGAAACTACTGGATTCATTCTACTAGCTGATATTGTACAGAAAACCCATGTTTATCAAAACAAACTAACGTGGAGGTCGCTCATGTAAATTATTAATCGTTTCCGGAAATCCACGAATAATAGGTTTCCACGAAATTAGGTTACTAGACTGTATGATATTCTTACTCTTAGACCTACTCTGCTACTTCAATTTGGATATAATTTAATTTAAAGGGACAGATGAGGCATTTGGCGAGAAAATCATACCTTGGTCCCAGAAATGTGAATTGTTCCTCTAAACTAACCAGAAACAATGTTCACAGCTTACTGTCTAATTTTGAGCCTTCAAATCCAAGTGTATCCATAATTACCCATTTTTAAGGGTAATTTTAAGAGACTTTATATTTTGAATAATTGTTGATTACATCATGTGTAAGAGTATGGAAGCAATATACAGTAGACTCAATCATCCTGTTCCACTTAGTCTACGCACAGCTGCGACGGAAGATGTCTTGGTGTCAGAGACTATAATTATGAACAAGTCATTCAACTTTCGAATACTCCCAATCTCAGAGAAGATAAGCTTGTAAACGAAGTAAATAAAATGTTAAATTTCTAGTTTGAGGTCTATTTGAAGGAATTCGTATAGTTATAGTACCTGCTGCCTCGTCCCCTTAAATAAATTATACCAGCTAATATTCATTTCCCGGCCTATCTTAGTGTGCGTCACAGTGACACAGGCATCGATAGTTGTCCTCATTTCGATACCTCCTGAATTCAAGTGTAGGCTAGATAGTAATTATATGAATGAGGACATGAAACAAATAATTATATAAACTTATATGAAACACATTGATTGTAGCTTGTAACTTTTCCCTAATTGTTGATTTTAAGCTTAATCTTATTAATGTTTTTGGCATCACTGGTACTCTATTTACTATTTTACTATAACCAGTTTGTTTTCGAAATGTTTTTTTTTTTTTTTTTTTTTTTTTTTTTTTTTTTTTACACACCTTCCTGAGCTTAGACTACAATAGTTGCAGCAACCATTCAACATTCACGAACCTTAGATATAGGCGACGATGTGCATAAATATATTTTGGATCTTTTTTGCAAAACCGGAAGTGCCACAGTTCAATATGTGCAAGAATAGATGATCGGCTCTAGAAGTCGTATTTTTCGGTCGATTTTCTTTGGGTTTGCATTTTTGGAATCTACTGTTAAAATCTGAAAGAATAGCAGTTTCAAAATTTCAAAATTCGAAAATTTGTCGAAGACATTTTTTTTGCCAAATTTTGCATTTTTTTCATTTTTTTTGCTTTTTGTCTAATTAATCTGAAAAAAATTGAGCAAAGACAGTTTAAGAAAGTAAACAAAATGGTACAGTCAAATTTTCAATTTCACTTCCAGTTTAAACAGGAAAACGATGTTCACTTCCGGTTGAATATCTTCCGGTGTAATTTGTATAGGACAAAAAATTTTATGCTGATAGGTAGACAATGTTATGACAAAAAAACGAAGAAAAAAAAATCCGGAACATACGTGAAACTTTTGCCGCCATTTTGATTTTTCTGAAATGATTCGATTTTTATTCAGACATAATGGCTCATCCGATTTAAATGATTTTGGTGTCAAATGAAAGAACATAAAAAAAAAAACATGACATTAGGAAGCCGTTTTTCGATTCTCAATTTTGCTTTTTTGCAACATCCGGTTGAATTTTTTCAAAGTTTGAAGGGACATATCTCGTGATCTTGAACTTTGATGACCTTGACCTTCATAAGGTCAAAGGTCATTGACCTTGCCTTTCAGTTAATACTTTGACATTTGACCTCCGAAATGTACTTCCGGTTTTATAGATGTCCGAAAACAGCCAAATTCGCAACTTTGGACTGCTCTAGCACGTGACCTAATTAACCTAGAGGGTTAATTTTTTCGGATTCCTAATGTGCTTTTCACGCTCTTTCAAATGATTTATAACAATCGTTTTTTAAAGCAAAATTGAAATTCGTGAATTTTTCAAATTTGAGTTTTTTTTACAATATTTCTGTTTCTTTGAGCTTGGTGTGTATATATCTTATGACCTATTTTATGTAGAACATTGAAACTTGGAACACAACAAGACAATTTGAATATTAATTAACCTATGACAAAAAAGTTGAGGTGGGCGTGGCACATCCGGGTTGAATTACTAATTGTTTACATTTTGAGAAAGGGGCAGAACTCGCATAGGATACATTTGTTCAAAAAGGAACTTTGCACACAATTACCTCATTATTTTGGCCAGTTAGTGTTAGTAGGTCAATTGTTTCAGCTTTATAGTTCCAAAAAAGGAACGGGTTTTGAAATTTCCATATTTTCAATTTTCTATTTTGACCTTTATTGACTCTTGTTGACCTATATCTTTTGACCTGTATGATGTAGAAGCTTTAAATTTGGAACACAACATAACATTCAGAATATCAATTAAACTATGCAAAAGAAATTGAGGTGGGCGTAGCACATCCGGGTTAAATTACTCATTATTGACAATTTTGGCAAGGGACATAACTCGCAACGTATACATTTGTTCAAAATGGAACTTTGCATACAATTACTTCATCCGTTGAGCCACGTTGTCTTAGAAGTTCGATTGTTTCAGCTTTATAGTTCAAAAAAAAGGAACAGCTTTTGAAAATTCAAAATTTTCAATTTTTGACCTTGACCTTTTTTGACCCTGATTTTTGTAGGATTAAAGGTCATTCACATTGGCTATCTATATATACTTTTATATTTGCTGTCCTATCTCAACTTCCGGTTTTATAGCTGTAACCTTGACCTTTGTTGACCGTCTCCCTTTCAATGTCAAATGTCATTGACCTTGGCTATCTTCTGATACTTTCATTTGTGAGGTCTGTCTACTTCCGTTATAACAATCTTCCAAAGAATTCTTCTCAACTTTAGACAGCTCTTGCGCGTGATGTAATTATCATAGAAGGTTGATTTTTTTCAGAGTCTTTTGCATTTTGCTACATTTGCAAAGTCCCACTCTGTGCCACGTGTGGCTCTAGTCTATATTTGATAGTAGATAGGATAACTTAAAATATGAAAGTATTTAATGATATGTTAAATTCCTAGAAAGTGGTTGTATATTTTCAGAAACCTGTTGTTATCACAGATACAAATTTAGTTAAATCAGCATTTCATTGGGATGCTGACTATTTATCCTCTAATATTGGAAGTGCCAAACAAACAGTATATTCATCATACAAAAATAAGTTTTTATATTATGATGATAAAAAATTACCCCAGTTTCCAGATTTACAGTTAGCAACAAAACACGAAGAAATGACTTTTAAAGAGTTCACAGAAAAGGTTAAAAACCATAAAAAGGGTGATAAAATGTAAGAAGTATTAGTTTTTCTTTGCCAAAAATTCAAGGAGAATTTTGGTTGTATTTTCATTATGATCTAAAGAAGTATAAGCAGAAAAATTTCTATCAGAGCAAAAGTTTTCAAATTTAACAATTTTTAAAACTTTAAGGCAGTTAATATGTTCTTCATTCAAGACATCAATGATGTAAATAAAACATTCCTACATACTTATAACTAATGCCTGAAAATTCTTTTGTGAAAGAAAATAAAGATAAGCCTATCTGTGTTTTAACATTGAAATTTATAGCCTACCAATTGTTGATAAATTGTAGTTTATTTGTGACATCACTATCTGATACCTACAATGGGAATTATATATTTTAGCTACTATTTACAGCAAGCTTTAAATGACAGTGTTGGGAAGAGTTTAGTCTTAGATTTTATTAAATTTAATTGGAGTTGGGCAACAGAACAACAGAAAAAATATAAATGGGGAGCACTGACATCTAACTTATTGTTAGTTGGTATGGATGGTAAGTTGAATATTTTGCATTTTGAATTGCATTGCATAGCTATGTATTTGGGCAGACATTGCAAAGTTTTTAAAATTACATGTCAGTACAATATTTACATAAACTTGTTCAATAATCCTTTTTTACCTTTTATTTAAATGGTTGAGTTTGATACTTGAGAATTTCAGAGTTTGTTTATCACATCAAAAATATTATTGCTTCAATCTATTTTTGATAAAATGATGTTAAAAACATCCAATTTATAGAAATGTTATGACATTACTATTTGTCGTATAGTATTACTAACCTATTCAACATGTCTAAGGCTATTATTATTATACTAATTTATCTTGAATTTAAGGTGTGATAACTCCAGCTCATTATGATGAACAACAAAATTTTTTTGCTCAGATCGGTGGCTTCAAAAGATTTTTATTATTTGATCCATCAATGTTTGAATGTTTATATCCTTATCCAGTTTATCATCCTCATGATAGACAGAGTCAGGTTGGTATCAATGTCTTAACACTGTATTCATTCTAATTGAAGGCCCTGCCCTCATTCTTCTTAAGAATGATATGGGTAGCTGAAATTAAGCTGTATCAAGTGGTAAAGCAAACATTTGTTGCACTTTATTCATATACATTCAATAAATGAAATGTGTTCCTTTTCTCTATTATTTTATAGGTAGACTTTGACAATCCAGATCATGAACGATTTCCCAATTTTAGAAACTTGTATGGACAGGAAGCCATAGTTGGACCTGGGGATGTTTTGTACTTACCTATTTATTGGTAAGTTTTGATTTTTGGGGAAAGAAGAAATTGTAGAAAGATCATATTCCTTTCTTTTGCTTGTAAGTAAATACATCTCCTATACCTGCAGTCTTTGATTGTATTCAACAGTCTTAAAATTTGCCATTTTATTTGTAATATCACCAATGATCATATTACTGATCTTCGGTTTGTATTAAGCTCGTAAGATGTAGAGAATAGAAATCCACTGGAAGCTTATTCTGGTCTTACATTTGAAATTTATTTATTAAAACGACATCTGTCACCATAATATACATTGCTCAAGCAGTCATCTTGTCCTACTCTTAAGGTCTCCGACTTGAATCTTGAGTAAAATCTCGCATGTACCCGTGCTTCCACATCAAGATTATCGACATGATATACAATATCAAACAAGTATGATAATTGTCTCCCATAGTTCTATCTTCTGCAAGACAGACTGTCATCATCCAATCAGATTCCTTTTCCTTTCAATTGCATGCTCCGCATGCGATTATTGACAAGGTAGAAACTTATTGATTGAAGAATTGTGTCTCCTTGTGTGCCCATGCCAGTCGTTGAAACTCAAGACATGACTAATCGGCGATAAAAGTCTGACCAATACTCACCAATTACTCTTAACCAATCAATGGACAGAATGATATTATTCACTTCTGTCACATATACTTTTTGACAAAATAGCCTCTTTTCATACCTAGTGTGTAAGTATATTCTTGCGAGAGATATTGTTTTGATAAATAAAATAAATAAATTTTATTTTATTTGACCAGAATTAGGTGTCTTTGTAAATATCTTATTGTTGTTCAATAATGTTAATAATGTACAACACATATGTTTCTGGTCAGTGTAAATTATACAATGTTTCAATGAAAGGTTGATATTTTGTAGGTGGCACCAGGTAGAATCTGTACCTAATCATGGTATGACAGTGTCTGTTAATTTCTGGTATAAGGTAATACCAATCTTCTTTTAACATACTAGAACCTTGTATGTAAGGGTCCTAACGTAAAATTTCATTATTTGCCATTTTGACACATAAAGTGATATTCAGACTATTTCTTGTCTGATATCACAATTTAACATCTCATGTTGAAAACAGTATTAATGACAGTAACTCAAAGACATCTTGAGTAATGGCCCAATCCAATAAAATACAGATATGTTTTATAAATAAATATTGTAGTCTGGTACAGAAGAAAAAATAGTTTATCCTTTAAAACCTCAACAAAAAGTAGCCATGATGAGAAATATTGAGAAAATGGTAACTAGTGCTATTAATAACCATGAAGAGGTTTGTTTTTTTTTTAGAAATATTGTTTGAATTGTGCCTGAGAAGGCCCTGTCAATAGTACTACAACAGTAGAATGTATTCAAAGCTTTACAACTATAAAACTTTGTAAAGCTCTCTGTTTGGATGTATGCATTTAGTTCATTCCTATATAAGAATATTTCTTCACAATGCTAATTTTTACCTCACCTTGCTCCATTATGTTGGAAATGTACCCATGTTTTTTCTGCTCTTGACTAAAATTCCTAAGAAACCAAAACTAAAACCTATAAAGAAATTGAAAATAAGGTGCAAAATCTTCATTACCTGTCATTAAAGGGACAGGTGGCCATTTTTTGTTTTTGACCAATCATACTTTGGTCTCAGAAACAGGAATACTATTCACTAATACTGATCAAAGCTCAACGTTGAGATTCGAGCCTTCAAATCTATGTGTGTTCAAAATTTTCTGCATTTGAAGGTTAAAATGATGATGTACTCTATGATATATAGAAAAAGACATAGTGAGTAAAATTGCTAGCTTGAAGTATTTGTAAGGGAATTATACGATTTTCGCACTTCTGAAGACTACATGCATATCATATTCAAGACTAAAAGCATCTGTCCCTTTAAAGATTATAATTATAAATTTTTCAGGTGCCCCACTTACTGAAAACAATGGTATTAGGACGTTATACATAAAGACATAAAGCCGCTGTTAACCTGTGATGTTTTTTAACAAGAATATTTTTTATATTTAATTTAATTCTCATATTTACCAATCCATGTTTTATATTTTCCATTTGATGTACCCAGCGTATTTATAGTGAGTGAAAAGCTTTAAGTTTTTATACATGCACAGTAAATGTGGATAAATATTTGTTATATTCCAATGAGGAATGATGTATTTTAGATGTAATCATATATATTTCCCTTAGTGATTATTAGTGATAATCTGTATTTTCATTACTATTGCCCTAAAGTTGATTAATTTATCTCAATATTTTGTATGAATCAAATAAATTTAAGTAAGAATATACAATAAATATTGTCACTGTTAAAATAGTGCCCAATACATTAATTGAATAGCAATATAGAAATATTAAAACAGAACTTAAAAAAAAACATGTTGTTTGTCAGATAAGTTAATGAGTTCTGAAAATTGTTTTATTTTTGGTAATTTATTATGTCAAAATGTTGATTTCATTTTACATGTTACAAAATTTTGTATTTCCATGGTTACTCCAGGTATCATTTCTTCCCCAGTTGTTTGAATACTTCTTTATGATGTAGCAATTTATTTAGTCACATTTTAAAGCTTACAGTTAAACTGTCTAGATTGTAAAAATTCTCCAATGTCTTCCACGAAAGAGATGATGTGGGGTGAAAAAGATTTTTTTTTTGTAAATTGAGGTCAAAGAATACTTATTATTAGAAGCAAAAGTTTTATCAGCATATTAAAGGTTTAACAATTTACATTACTATACTTTTGCCTATCAGAGGATAAGTTTTATCTGTTGGTGCTAGAAGCCTTAAACATTAAATCATAGTTATGCCTTGAAGTCAGAACATTTATGGGATATCCCAGGCAAGTCCTTTAAAACTGTTATACCTGTGAAGTAAGAAATATAATAATATTTCTTTTGAGAGGAAAAGCTCATAAAATTGTGACTTGACTTATATTTTATTGAAATATAAGCTTAAAAGCTGTTGTTATATAATTGTTTGGTTTCAATTACTATTAATTCTAGACTGTTGTAGGACATTATTGATTAATTTGGCGACATCTCTATCCCTGAAAGTGCATAATATGTTGAATGATTACATCCTATATACAACATCTTAAAGATTGTATTATATTTGTTTTAAAATCATTGTGTTTGTATCAAAGTGAATGTTAAGATTGTGCTGTATATATTTCAGTATTTTTTCTTAAATTAAAATGTTATAAATTGAGTGAATATTTTTTTTGTTTTTTATGAATTGTCCCAGAAACAAGATTAACAAATGAAGCCAAGCCAACAGTCCAGTGCCTGACTGCAGTGGCTAAGAAAGGCATCACATTTATGAACCAATAGGCCTAATGGTCTATAACTTAAAACTGAGAACAAGGAAAGGAAAGCTGGCCAGTGCTGGCCCCTGCATATTTTTGCATCCTCGGAAATGATAAATTATTTACATGTGTGACCTCTGCATTTGCATGTTTTGATTCACTTGGGTTATCTTTACAACCTCCACCTGCAGAATTTTTCCTATCATTTCAAAGTAATGTCAAATTTATTATCTATTTATAACATATACAAAGTGGCACAATTTTTCATTAGCCAAATTTCCTTATAATTCCTGGCTGTACTTGGAATTCCAAATAGTCAGCCGAAAAATTCTATGGCCATATTCTTTTGTTGTTTCAATGAATTTTAACAATAAATTATTCTTACGTTTTACTTACCTTATTTGACAGTCATTATTTCTTTATTTTTTAACTCATTGTTCAATTGTTTTATTAAGGATAAATATTAAGAAGAGATAATTATACCATTTGGTATCCATACAATGTGTTTTTCTGGACTGATTTACAGATCATTTTACCTGAAATAGGTGATGTATTTTGCAGTCGTCAAGTTGGTTACCCATGAAAGATGGGTCAAAGTGGGGGATCCATAAAGAAAATCGAAACAAACCAATTTTACTTATTTTATAGAATATCTGAAGAAACAACTAAGACATAAAAAAAATTTAGCTGTTGAATCCTTATATGCACGAATATAGGTTACACCACTTTAGTTTAAGAGTATTATATCTCTAACTGAGCTTACAGTTACTGACATGATTTTTTATGAAGTTTACCATTTTGCATGATTTCTACTGTTCAGAAGATGTCAAAATAATCATGGCAATTATTTTGTGCACTATAGAAAACAATTCAAACAAACAGGCCTAGTCTATGCAAAATCATGGTTCCTTTAGTTTGGATATCACTGCCTTTAAAATTAATTAAGTGTGTTCTCAGTTTAGAATTACTCCCCCTCTTTATTTTCAACATGGCGGACCACGTGTTCTAAAAAATGTAAACAAACTTAAAATCTGAAATAAAAAAAAACATCATCAACTGACAGACAACTTGAATATGATGTGAATTAATGAGTCTGGGGCGGGGACACATAGATTTTGAACTGTGAACACTAATATTCACACGCTTAGCTAAGAAAAGAAATCCGCTTCTGAGACTAAGGAACGAATGGCGAACTGTCCTGTTAAGGTTATTTAATTGTTATTTTATCGTATGGACGACTCAAAATTAAGTTATTGCCAGAATTTGTCACACGCAAATGTGTGTTTAGCTTATGATCGATAGATAATGACATGTCTATCAAGTTGGGTAGATGAGATTTATAACTCACCCAAATTTCAAATGATTTTTTATCCTCTGCATATAAATACAGAAGTGAAGAAGAATATTTGGGTAGATATTCATTAGTAACTAATAATGGAAGGAGAAAGGACTGAAAATAAGACCTACAGACCTAGAGCAGCTGGAGTCAAAGCACGCAAAAAGAAAGCCAAGAAGGGAGGGGAAAAGGATGAGGATTTGACACCACGGCAAAGAAATCCTAAAGCTTTTGCAATTCAATCTATAAGAAAAACAGAGAAGACAGTCAGAAGGTAGAAGAATTATTTAGATTTATGCCATATATATTTGATTTACTTGAATTGTTAAGCATCCAACTATAACGTGCATATACAGTGGTGTAACCTATTTTCGTGGATATAGCCTAAGGATTCAACACCGAATTTCGTCAAAGTTGAAAAAAACAGAATTTTTCTTTTATGTCTTAGATGTTTCCACAGATATTCTACAAAATAATTAAAATTTGTTTGTTCTGATTTTCTTTATAAATCTTTCACTTTGACCCATATTTCATGAACAACCAACTCGGCAACGGCGGCAGAATGCATCACCTAATTTCGTGTACAATGTTTGATCTATAAATAAGTCTAGAAAAACATGTTGTATTGATACCGGGTGGTAAAATTAACTTCACTTAGTATTTATCTTTAATATCAATTCATTATAACTAGTGACAATTGCTTCAAAGAACCACGATTTAAAAAAAAAAATAAAATAAGACAAAATAAGATAAGATTGCTAAAAGTCACTGAAACAACATAAGAATATGGCCCACTTTGTGTTCCATAGAAATTTTCTGCTGACATGGAAACCGGTAGTTGATCACGTGACTTCATTCGTTGGACTACATTCTAACAGACGACACTTGGAATTCCGATTACCGCTTGGAATTATAAGGAAATTCGGCCGATAAAAAATGGTGACATTTGGTAATAACTGAAATCCGCCATTTTGTATTTGTCAAAGTATACATTAATACATTTTACCTTGCTTGAAATTACTGGATTCATTCTACTAGCTGATATTGTAGAGATAACACATGTTTATCGAAACAAGCAAATGCGGAGGTCACATGAGGTCGCACATGTAAATTATTAATCATTCCCGGAGATGCACTATAAAATTTGTTAGCACGAAATTAGGTTACTTGACTGTATATCTGAGGAGAAGCCTGGATTTGTTTTCTGTACTTTTCTGACTATTCTCTAATTTGATAATGAAATCCAAATATTATTTTTCAGGACTTTAGATTTAAAAGTGAAGAAACAGCACATACCATTTGTTGATAGAACGCCTGTTGAACCTCCGCCTATAATAGTTGCTATAGTTGGACCCCCTAAAGTAGGAAAGACAACTCTTTTGAAATGTTTGGTAAAAAATTATACTAGACAGAAACTCTCTAATGTGAATGGACCTATAACAGTTGTAGCAGGTAGGGCAATATTATAGGTATATGGTGATCAGATCATTATCACTTAAAAAAAAAACCAACAGTTTGAAATGAACCAACTCTGCTGTAAATCTATTATGTAATTGACAGTTAAGGCTGAGCTCTAAAAGGGTGGGTTTTAAAAGCCAACCGCCTAACGCTGCCAACCAGCATACCGGGATGAAAAAATGAGCATTGTTAAATTTAAGGATCGCAGATTTTCATACTACAAAATGAAACTATTCAATTTGACGAAATTTTTGTTGACGTCAATATTATGGAATCAAAATTATTTTAAAAATGAAACGAAACAAATTAATATTTCTTTTTTTGCTTTGAGATATTTTCCTTCACATTTTCTGATTCAATTTGTGTTTAAAATAGCATTAATCTCTTTTAAAAATAAAATGGGGCACACAATAAAACGTACGAAAACCTCTAGATTTATTTTTAATGATCACAACGACTGGACAAGGTCGTTTGTTTCAGAGTTACTTCCCTTAACTTTTTACTGTCATCGGGAACATAGAGCATCAAGGCCAAGGAATCTTTCTTCCACCTATAAGAATTTTTTCAAAATTGATCCTTGACGTAGACTATAATAATTCTGCGAATGCTCCTCCTGTTAATCCAACAGAATCATCGATATATGTAGTGGATAAAAATCTTCACCAAGACTGGAAGCACACTTCCAGTACTTGGAAAAATCAGGTGTCTAAATTAGCAAATATACTAACAATGACACAACTAGTCTTCCAGTCTTGGTGAAGATTTTTATTCTGTCAAATTGAATAGTTTCGTTTGGAGTATGAAAATCTACGATCCTTAAATTTAACAATGTTCATTTTAGCGCCCTTTTTTCACTCCGGTATGCCGGTTGGCAGCGGTAGCGGTTGGCCTTTAAAACCCACCCGCTCTAAAAGATCTGGCTGTACCAAAAATTCAATTTGTATAAGTATTCAAATCTTAAAATTTGAAAAAAGTAATGCTTTTCATTATCTTGTATTTACCCAGCAATACATGTTGCCATTATCTTGCAGGTAAACAAAGAAGAATAACATTTCTAGAATGTTCCAATGATATAAATTGTATGATAGATATTGGAAAGATAGCTGATCTTGTAAGTGCTTTTTTCTCTTGAACAAATGAAAGACTTCGATGTGCAGGAAACCATGAACCATATTTTTGCAGTATATCTCCATTGATATCTCAAGATATGCTTTTTATTTACATAATGATCTAAACCAATGAGTGTAGTATTGGAGTTGTCTCACTTGCCAATGAATCTTGAAATGTGTGAGCATGTCATTGAGGGACTATTTTAGTAGAAATTGCAGGAGAACCACACTTACAAGTTATATGTTAAAGAAAATAACATACAAGATAATAATAGATAAGACATAATGTCATAAAAATCCCCCAGACTTGACAAGTCATGGACAAACTCCGTCAATCTGTTTGTCAACACTTCTAGAGAGTATAGATTTGTTTCCAATTTTAATGGAGTTTTCAATGAACATGAAGAATAATGATTTTTGCAAGCTTATGTACATCTTATGCAATCTATTGCTTTGATTATTCATATTGAAAAGGTTGTATTGTTAACAGTGTATGGTCTGTTGCTTTCAATAGCATGAACAAACTGACTTTATCCCTGGTGACATAAAAAAATGCTCCTAGGATGTGTTTGTTTATTAGGCTTGAAACATTTCATCAGGAAGAGAAGTATGAAATATATCTTGTGCAATTTTGTATGGTTGATTCAAGGAGTTGAAATTCTATTTTATAGGTTTTGTTAATGGTGGATGCGAGTTTTGGATTTGAAATGGAGCAGTTTGAGTTTTTAAATATTTGTCAAGTTCATGGTTTCCCCAGAATTATGGGTGTTTTAACGCATTTAGATACATTTCAAGAAAATAAAAGAATGAGAAAGACAAAGAAAATGTTGAAGAATCGATTCTGGACTGAAATATATCAGGTTTGTTACAGAAAAGGTCTAAATATTAAGTTGATCTAGTCTATACTTTGTTTGAATCTTTGAATCAAACTATGTGAAAAAGTTGGCCTATTTTTTTTTTTATTATATTTTAGTAAATGTCTCTAGATAGATTAGAATATATAGATATAGTATTTTTTTTTAATCTAGTCAATGTTCAATGTTGCAGTTCTATGTGAAATTTGATAAATGTTCATATAGATTGCCAAGTTAAACTCAAATTATAACTGAAATCTGCACCTCAATGCCAGTGTTTTACAATAAAATGGATCTGCTATTTCAGGGTGCCAAGTTATTTTATCTATCAGGAATGGTGTATGAAGAGTATCAGAGAACTGAAATACATAATTTATGCCGCTTTATATCTGTGATGAAATTTCGACCATTACAGTGGAGAATGAATCATCCTTACATACTTGCTGACAGGTACAGAGATATAAATTCAGTATTTTTCTTGATCTGTCAGCATCGACAGCGCTGAGTTGAATTTTATATCTGAAACGTGCAGTGTGTGACAGCTTGAGATGAACCTATATATATTATAATGTATTATGATTATCTCTAATGGCTATCTTAGTGGAAATTTGAGTTTCAAACAACCTAAGGGTATTCAGATGATAAGTTTCATAGATAAGACCTATCTATTTTAGAATGGAAGATATAACTAATGGTGAATCAATACGTCAGAATGGTAAATGTGATAGAAAAGTCTGTCTTTATGGTTATATTAGAGGTACACATTTAAAAAACAAACAGACCATACATATACCAGGTAGTGTTTCTATTTTCATTATTTCAAATGTAGAAATAGCTTCATAGCAGCATGGAAAATAAATATTAAACAGTTTAAAGAATATCTGGTTGCTTTTCTCTTTGACTGCTATATTTGATATCTCAAGAATCACGCATATTTCTAGAATAAGATTGATTTGATTTCTTTTTTGAATGAAGGTTGTGGTGATTTTGATATCAATGATATACAGTTAATACCTGATCCCTGTCCAACACCAGATAAGATTAAAAAACGCTCTTTAAATGAGAAGGAGAGAATGGTGTATGCTCCAATGGCTGGTGTTGGTGGAATTGTGTATGATAAAGATGCTGTTTACATTGATATTGGTGGACGCCATTCATATAATCTTACTGAGGTAATATTTTGTGTCATTTATATAATCTTACTGAGGTAATATTTTGTGTCATTTATATAATCTTACTGAGGTAATATTTTGTGTCATTTATATAATCTTACTGAGGTAACATTTCTTGTCATTTATATAATCTTACTGAGGTAATATTTTGTGCCATTCATATAATCTTACTGAGGTAATATTTTGTGTCATTTATATAATCTTACTGAGGTAATATTTTGTGCCATTCATATAATCTTACTGAGGTAATATTTTGTGTCATTTATATGATCTTACTGAGGTAATATTTTGTGTCATTCATATAATCTTACTGAGGTAATATTTTGTGTCATTTATATAATCTTACTGAGGTAATATTTTGTGTCATTTATATAATCTTACTGAGGTAATATTTTGTGTCATTTATATGATCTTACTGAGGTAATATTTCTTGTCATTTATATAATCTTACTGAGGTAATATTTCTTGTCATTTATATAATCTTACTGACTTAATATTTCTTGTCATTTATATAATCTTACTGACTTAATATTTCTTGTCATTTATATAATCTTACTGACTTAATATTTCTTGTCATTTAAGGATAGTCAGTAAGTAATATCTTTCTTCAGTTAAAGTTGAAACAAATTTGATATTTTTCAGTCAATATTTATATATTTTACCCTACCTCTATGTATAATTATTAGTTATTATTTGCAGGATAGTAGACCCAGTAATGAGTTAGTAGGTAATTTAATGGAGACCAGTAATCCTATAGATGAGAAGATGTCTAGCAGTAAAATGACATTATTTACTGGAACTGAACCAATTACTGCTAGCAAGGCTGATGATTTAATGTTAGTATAAATCTTTTGGGAAAGAGCACAATGTTCTCAATATTGTCATGATGCTTTGAAAACTGTCATTATGTCAAGCAAAAGGAAAATAAAAGAAATGTGTTTGGGTGTGGTTTACAGATTGGAATTGGACTGCTCTTAAGAAAATTAGATATTTGGTGATGACCATAAGGTGTAGGCACACAAGTGTTCTTGGTTAGAGATTTTGGTCTCCAACTCGAATCTTGAGTAAAATCTCTCTTGTGTCTTCCACGACAAGATTATCGTGTCGCCGACAGGATTTATAATATTAAACAAGTTTGATCCAAGTTTTCAAATCCATGTGCTTGAGAATTATCCGTGTTTGAAAGTTAAAATGACGACTTGTCATTTCTTGAGACTCTGTCATGTATAGAAGAGACATTTAAAGAAATTGGTTATTGTTGTAGATATCCAATAGAAGAGAAGGTTGATGTAGGAGGAGGTAGAATAAGAAGAAGAGCTATATTTAAAGATGGACAACTCAATGAGGACAGTGGCAATGAAGATGTAAATATTTTTTTTTTGTGATTGAATGATTTTGACAAATGAGAACATAGAATTTTACCATTTTACATCTTAATCAAATTTTTCAAAAGATTACTAATATAGAAAAATAGTTATGAAAAATATCCTTCTAGGCAGAAGATGATGATGAGGATGATGATGATGAAGAAGACAGTAATGAAGATGATGATGAAGTTGAAAATGAAGAAGAAGAAGATGAAGCTCCGCCATTAAAGAAGAACAAGGTAATCAGATTGTAATATGATTTGATTCTATGAGTAGAAGAATTGAATAATCACAGAAATAATCACAGAAATAATCACAGAAATAAACAAGTTATTCAAATGTTATTTATTCCAGCTTGGGAAATGTACTGATGAAAGTGAAGAGTTTGCATTTGCAGACAGTGATGATGATTTAGAGAAAGAAGTTGTCAAGAAATCATTAAAACAATCCAGAAAGATTGAGCATGATCATGATAGTGACGATGACAGTGAGGACGGTTCTAATTTTGACCAATCAGAAGGAGAATCTGATCAAGACATCCAATCAAATGAAGCAGAAGTTGATGATGTTAAAGACGATGATGAAGGTGGTGGAATGGGTATGATTCTAAATTAATCTTGTTGTTGAAGCAAGCTATTGTAAAAGGTTTATTATGACCAATGAATATTATGTTTGTAGCACTCCCTGAATCTGTTTATTGGTTGAATTTTTGTGGAATATACATTCTTGATCAAAATTTCCACAGAACCAAACTCTTCCCATTAACAGTGTTTTATGCTTACTGATTCTCTCTTTCAGGTTTACAATGGAAAAATGACATGGTAGAGAAAGCTGCAGCGTCTTTTAAAGCTAGACAAAAAGGAAAAATAGATTACAGAAAAATTGTGTATGGTACAGGTAAGTGAACAGTCCCATTTCATAAAGCTGATATCCTATTAGATAAAAATAAATATAAAGGATGATAACTGTGTAGGCTCAATGAGTTTGATACATGCTCTCTAACCTGAAGGGTTAAAATTGGCAAAGCTTGAAAGAAAACTATCAAATTTTTCAATCCAGTTTTCTCCTGTCATTGATGCAGGTCTAAGGGCTGACATGAAAAAAGCATCTTGATATTCAGATAAAAAGCAAACGTTTTGAGTTACACAGGCTTTGCATGCTAAAAATTCCCTTGAGAAGAAAATTGAAGAAATGCAGGCCAATGCAACTGTCCTGGCAAAATTTTCCTGTACATGACATTGTCAAAGCAAAGCATTTGAATATCATTTAGCCTTCATCATTCACTCAATATGATTATTTTAGGTAAAATGGTTTAAATTAATCAATATATTTTATAATAAATGATACATGAAATACTATTGTAGATATTAAGGAAGAAGAATATAAAGAAGAAAAAGAAGATGAATTAGGAGGATTATTTAAAGTTTTGAAACAGAAAAATATTGACAATAAAAATGATAGATATTCAATCAATAAAACAGACTGTTCTAAATTCTTCCCTGAAAATCCACAAGATTGGAGTTTAGATGAAGTTATAGCTAGTATTAAAGACTGTTTTATAACTGGACAGTGGTCAAAAGATAAAGATGCTAAAGCCAGATTAGATTTAGATGGTATGTTGGATCCTGAATTTAGCCTTTACATGCACAAAATAGCTAATGGAATAGTATTCAGTTAATGATTTATATTGAACAGTATATTCAAACTTGGCTGGAATACTTCAAATTATCTGCTTAACAGAGGTGGTTTCTTTTTAAGAGCCATTCTGTGAATTTTTGAGGCAAATTGGACATTTCAATTTCATTTGCAGTCCTGCATTTTTGTATTACCAATTATTTGTCTCATATGAGCCCACACAGTCTGTCTAAAATTTTACCCACCATAATATCATCACAATGACCCTTCTACAAATTGAAAAAAATAATGATAAAAACATGATATTTAAAATTCAAAACACTACATTCAAATTCAAATAATATGTTTTCAAACAGTTAATAGATAAAAATTTTACTTGCTGTTGATTGAAATGTCAACCCTTTATACACTTGACTTAGTCAAACCAGTAAAATATTGTAGATGAGTTGTATGGAGATTTTGAAGATCTAGAAACTGGAGAGAAGTTTACTGCTGAAGGAGAAGAAGAGGAGGAGCAAGAAGAAGAACAAGAGGATGGTGACAATGACAGTGGAGATAATAATGATGATAAAGACTCCACTAAACCAGGTCTGTGTCAAATATTGAGAACTATGTCCTATTTGCTACCTCTGGAAAGTGAATAGTTTCCCCAGTGGGTAGTATTAATACTAATACATTTAGAAAATAAGGCACAAAATATGCCTCTATACCTTCCAAATGGCACTAAAAAAATCTGTAAAACATGCTTTCTAATGAAATGAAGTAATATATTACAACCTGAAAGCAAGATATTTGATCCTGATAGAAAATTCTTTAGTATTTTTATACGCCCACATGAAATGGGGGCGTATATTGTCGTCACCCATATCTGTCGGTCCGTCCGTCCACAATTGATCGTAAACACTCTACAAGACACAATTCGTGACGGATTTTGACAAAACTTGGTATGAGTGTTCGTAATGAACCCTATTGAAAATCAGAAGAATCGAAAAATATTTAGTATAAGTTATTGCCCTTGTTCTTGAAAACACGTTCAATTTTTAGCTCGTAAACACTCTTGACAGTCAAATCTTGACAGATTTAACGAAACTTGGCATTTTCACGAGCTAAAAATTGAACACGTTTTCAAGAACACGGGAAATAACTCATACTCAGTATTATTCAGTATTGCTCTAAAAAGTTCAAAAGAAGTGTATGACAGAAGGTTGAATATTTCATACTGGTGATTGTTACTGTACTGCTAAATATTTTTATTCAAAATCAAAGCTGCTAGTGGGCGTATATTACCTTGCCTGGCAAGCTATCTTTAAGGATTGTTGACAAGTTAAAGAGTGTTGATGCTCATAATGTTTTATTTAATAGATAATGAAAAAAAGAAGACTAAAGCAGAAATGACAGCCAATGAAAGAAGACAGATTCGTAAAGAACGACAGAAAGAGGCATTTGATGAACAGTATGATTTAAAAGATGAGTCAGCATTTTATGATGAGTGGAAGGCAGATTTAGAAAAACAGGCAAAGGTAGAAAATTACATTTATTTTGATACGCCCATATCTCTCTATGTGGACGTATATTGTCGGCACCCCTGTCCGTCCGTCAACATTTGCTTGTAAACGATCTAAAAACTAGATTTTTTGATGGAATCAAATGAAATTCGGTATGTGTGTACATATTCATAAAACGAAGATCAAATTTGAGCAATTTCAACTGTTAGAAGCAGAGTTATTTACCTTGCCCCAAAATCTTGAATATGCTATCACTCTCTTAGTTTTCAACCGATTTTGAAAAAAACTTTAAATGGATGTTATTGGACCTAAATCGAAAGGTTTGAGAAAGTTTATTTTATTTCTGATTAAATTTAAGGCTTTTTCAAGATTTAGACCTCTTAGGTCAGTTTTCAGGAGATATCGCCCTTTAACCTCTTAAAGTGCTTCTATCAACATCAATTGCTCGTAAACACTCTAAAAACTAGAGTGTTTGAAGGAAACAAATGAAATTCAATATGTGCATACATATTCATGGAAAGAAGATCAGGATCAAATTTGAGCTATTTTCGACCGTTAGAAGCAGAGTTATTGCCCTTGCCCCAAAATCTTGAATATGCTATTACTCTTAGTTTTCAACCGATTTTGATGAAACTTAAAATGGATGTTTTGTTTTTACCATCTGCATGCCGTGTAGGGCGTATATGGCTGTGGTCCACTATCTTTTTAGTTGAAATTTTAAAGGAAACAATTTGTCACCCTTATCTATGTCAGTCTGCCATTTCTTAGAGAAGTTGCTAGCAAGTTGATGATGTTTTTATTTTGAGTTTGTTACTAAAACCTATGTTATTGTAACAAACTGGAACTCAGCTCTACCTGAGATTTTTTATTAAATATGGCATGCCATTACTTTCAGGAATGAAATATCTTGTTGTTTTCAGTTAAATCGGGCAGAGTTTGATTCAATGCCTGATGAATTGAGAATACAATATGAAGGACATAGACCAGGAATGTATGTAAGAGTGGAGATCAATGATATGCCATGTGAATTTGTGACAAACTTTGATCCTATATATCCAGTCATATTAGGTGGTTTACAGAATGTAGAAGGAAATGTGGGATTTGTTCAGGTTAGAAACAATAACAATTTGATTACAACCTTGACAAAATTGGTCCTTAACTATTGTCTTGTCAGATTTGATCCTTATGGTGCGACATACGAATGTTCTTTTTCAGCGATTTTTGTCGCCGCCTAGAGTCTGTCAAGTTAATTGTTGACTGTTAACAGATTTGTCAGTTATGAAATGAAGTTCCAATGTAGTCTATGATTAGAAACTTAAAAGCTAGTATAGAAAGACATGAAAGTCTGTGTATTATTTCTGTAGTCTTATCTTTTATTTTTTATATATTAGGCTCGTTTTAAGAAACACAGATGGTATAAAAAGATATTGAAAACACGTAATCCAGTCATTATCTCACTAGGATGGAGGAGATTCCAGACAATGCCATTATATTCTGTACAGGATCATAACTTCAGACAGCGATTACTCAAATATACTCCTGAACATCTACATTGTCATGCTGCTTTCTATGGTAAGATATGATAATATCCTTCAGTCCTATTACACAAATTGTATAACTTCTTAAATAGTCTGGCACAACTAATAAATTGCTATCTCTATAAAGAATAATTAATGGCAAACCTGGCAAAATACATATTTTCTTGCTCAAAATGATATAGATAATTACTTTTGATGTTATATTCAACAGGTCCTATAACACCACAAGGGACAGGGTTATTAGCTGTAGAAAGTGTTGCTGGTAGAGAGGTGAGCTATGTTAATTTTCAGATAAATTTGTAATGATCAATACCCCAGTCATCAGAATTATGGTCCATCGAAATATATATGTGAATTTTGGTCCTGCGTAACCTAGATTGCATTTGTAAGCTTATATGGGTATAGTTCATTAGTTATAACTTAAAAAACAATTGTGTGATTTGTTTTTTTTTTTCAGCCTGGGTTTAGGATAGCTGCAACTGGAGTTGTATTAGAACTAGATAAATCTTTACAAATAGTAAAAAAACTCAAATTGACTGGTGTTCCATGTAAGATTTATAAAAAGACAGCTTTTATCAAGGTGAGAATCATTCTGCAATGATTCATAAACAAAACTTGACAGGTACTGGAATAAGTGTACTATCCTTTCAGTTTATATAAACACAAAGGATGTAGTTTGAGGTACGGGAAGGGGATTAAAGGAATGCAGATGATTCAATGTCATTTAGCCCTGTATTTGCATATTCTATGTTATAGGGAATGTTTAGTTCAGCATTAGAAGTGGCTAAATTTGAAGGTGCTAGTTTACGTACAGTCAGTGGGTTGAGAGGACAGATTAAGAAAGCCTTACGTACGCCTGAAGGTGCTTTTAGAGCAACATTTGAAGATAAAATACTGAAAAGTGGTAAGTATGATATTGTAATATTAACAGACAATGTCAGCTATATGTGACCAGTATATACAACCTGGAGCTGTCATCAGAAGATTTGAGTTATTCTTACATTGAGTAAACGTTTATGTTTAGATATAATATTTGTAAGAACATGGTGTCCAGTGGAGGTACCTGAGTTTTATAATCCTGTAACATCGCTGTTATTACCACCAAATCAACGTAAATCATGGGTAGGAATGAGAACCTTGGCTCAGCTCAGACGAGATAAAGGTGTAAGATTACAACAGAATCCAGATTCATTGTACAAGGTAAAAAGATATAGTCTATTAAAATGTATCATCAGGACTAATAGCTCAATGTGTCTAGTCCGAGCCAGGTATTCTACATGTTGTACTCATTTTGTAATTATTTGATAATAAGTGTACTAAATAAACCATATTAGCTCACAGAGAAGGATGCTGAGTTTATATTATTCTGGCTTCAATGTCAATTATTGTCAGCTATGGCACCATACTTGCTTTATAATTTTCACTTATTCCAATATTTCTATGATTACCCATTCAATATTTAAGTAGTTAGTAATTATATTTATGTGAATGAAAGCCAACCTAATTTTAGTTTAACATCTGCTAATTTAAACTTTGTTTTACATTCTATCTACTCCAGCCTGTTGTACGTAAAAACAAGATATTTAAACCATTAGTAATACCACGAGGTTTAAAAGCTCAGTTACCTTTTAAAGCAGTACCTAGTGAATTATTGAAGAAGAAAGAAAGTGGTATGAAGAGAATAGCTGTTATAAAGGATAAGAGAGAGAAAAAGGTATGTATTTCAAGATTTAAACTGAAACATATCATAAGATAGGTTGCCAGGCAAAGTAATATACTCCCATTGGCAGCCTTGTGTTTACGAACAATTATTGACAGATGAATGGACATTTCAGGTGTGCATATAAAAATTGTTTAATTTGGTGTTTTTATGCTGCAGCCAGTATATATTATTTACTAAATATTGCTTTCAGAACATACTATTTTTATTCGCCCACATGAAATGGGGGATGTATATTGCCTGTCCGTCCAGAATTGCTCGTAAACACTATACAAGGCACAATTCTTGACTGATTTCGATGAAACTTGGTATGGTTGTTTGTAATATTTACTATGAGTTATTGCCCTTGTTCTTGAAACGCTCGTAAACACTCTAGAAGGTGCAATTCATGACGGATTTTGTTGAAACTTGGTATGAGTGTTCGTAATCACCCAAGGATAAACCCTATCAAAAATCAGAAAAATTGAAAAATATTTAATATGAGTTATTGCCCTTGCTCTTGAAAACGCGTTCAATTTTAGCTTGTAAACACTCTAGAAGGCACAATTCTTGATGGATTTTGACGAAACTTGGTGTGAGTGTTTGTAATCACCCATGGATAAACCGTATTGAAAAACAGAAAAATTGAAAATTATTTAGTATGAGTTATTGCCCTTGTTCTTGAAAACTTGTTCAAATTTTAGCTAGCTTGTAAACACTCTAGAAGGGACAATTCTTGACGGATTTTAACGAAATTTGGCTTGAGTGTTGGATATCACCCTATTGAAAATCAGAAGAATCTAAAAATATTGAGTATGAGTTATTGCCCTTATTCTTGAAAACGCGTTCAATTTTTAGCTTGTGAACACTCTAGAAGGCACAATTCTTTACGGATTTGAACGAAATTTGGTTTGAGTTTTTTTTATCACCCAAGGATAAAGCCTATCGAAAAGCAGAAAAATCGAAAAATATTTAGTATGAGTTATTGCCTTTGATCTTGAAAACTCGTTCAATTTGTAGCTCGTAAAAACTCTAGAAGGCATGATTCTTGCCGAATTTTGACAAAACTTGGTTTTATTATTCAGTCCTGAAAATTGAATATTTGCCTTCTAGAGTTTTCACAAGCTAAAAATTGAACGCGTTTTCAAGAACCAGGGCAATAACTCATACTCAATATTATTCAGTATCGTCCTAAAGAGTTCAAAATAAGTGTATGACTGAAGGTTGAATATTTCATACTGGTGATTGTTACTGTACTGCTAAATATTTATGTTCAAAGTCAAAGCTGCCAGTGGGCATATATTACCTTGCCTGGCAAGCTATCTTTTAATATGGTATGACTTGTATGATGTAGGCCTACCGGTACCATTTAATTTAAAGGGCTGGGATCATGCTTGCTTTCTTGTTTTCATTTCACCTTGACATTATTTTTGATTCAATCATTACTGAAGAATGACAATATTAAATTTTTTTGGGCCCCTAAACTTGAAATATCAGTCACTATTCACGAGTTATTTTTCCTAAGTTGGTCTATCCCTATTATAGATTTGTTAATTTTAATTAAGTTAACTGTGTCATATGTAGGCCTATGATCACTTTAAGTAATTTACAAGGCTTAAGGCTTATTTAAAGAAAAAATAATAAATTTGGAGTTTCAAAATCATGACTGTACGTGCTTTGGAATAATCTCCCGACTTTTCACCAAATCTCCTGATTTTTCAAGCAAACAGATTTTTTTTCTTGACCTGTACACATGTATGGCTGCAGGTCATATGTGAAATTATACAGAAACTGTTTTAAAAAATTCATTCACACCGTTTTTGCCTTCTGTTTCAGATTGATAATATGATGTCTATGATGCAATCCTTGTACTCTCATAAATTACAACAGAAAAAACTGACTTTAAAACAAGCAGCAGAGAAACGTAAAAAACAGATAAAGAAAGATGACAAGAAACGTGAACAGAGACAGAAAGAATTGAAAAAGGAAATATTTAAACATATTGGACGCAATGAAAAGAAAAAATTCTAACGAAATGATTTATAGATTTAATCTGTTGTCTGATAAATGAATGTGTGAGTGAATCAATGATTGAATCATTGACTTGAGTATAAATAAATGAATTAATGCTAAATGTTGATTTTGTTTAGGCTGATGTCTGTGAACATACCTCTTGATATGGTTAAGATAAAATGTATGTGGGTGACAAGTTCACGTATTATTCTACAAATGATTCTCAGCATTCGATAAGGCAAGTCCGACAAGCACAGTTCTCAGAAACATTGAGCATCGATCTCAGATTTTTTAGGACGTGGCGAACTACTATTTGACATGAGAAGAGTGAATGAAAGTATTCAAGCAATGCTCAGGTCCTGCTAATAGTTGTCTGAGGGAGCAAATACAAAGTATTGATGACCTCGGCTGTAATTACATTAAAAAAAAGATAGCTTGCCAGGCAAGGTAACATACGCCCACTACCAGATGTCAGAAATGATAAAAGAGTCTGTAGTGGTTAATTATGTGAAACCAATCATCCGATTGTTACTAATTTCATGCTTTACTCAGGTCTCATACCAATATTCATAAAAAAAAGAATAAAAAAAAATGTAGTCTCTATCAGGCCTACAAGCCAAATTAGACGCACAGAATTAATTAGAGGGTCATAACTCCAAAACTATTCATTCAATTATTACCATTTTTATACGCCCACATCGCTCTATGTGGACGTATGTTGTCGGCACCCCTGTCCGTCAACATTTGCTTGTAAACGCTCTAAAAACTAGACTTTTTGATGGAATCAAATGGAATTCGATATGTGTATACAAATTATAAAACGAAGATCAGGTTCGAATTTGAGCTATTTTCGACCGTTAGGAGCAAAGTTATTGCCCTTGCCCCATAATCTTGAATAAGTTTCAACAAGATCAGATAATCAAAAGAACCTGTAAGGAATTGTCGCCTGTGGATTGAACAGTTGCACAATATAGCTAATAGAGTGAAACGTCAAGTCAGACACGATATTTCGGTGAAAAATTATCCGAACCTCACGAAAATCGATAGGGATCATCTTCATAATGACATTGACAAACAAAATCAAAAGAATCTGTGAAGAATTATTGCCTGTAGAGTGAGCACGAACCATATGTGAACGGATGGACGGACGGACAGGGTGATTACAATAAACGCCCATCTTAGGTGTGGGCGTATAATGAAAAGATAAAGCCCAAGATCTAAGTTGATGTCAATTTGAATTCAATTCCATAATCAAGCCTTATTGGGTCTATTTTGTGTATGTGAAAAGAATGTCATTATTACAAAAATTGGACATAGTCGTATTTCATTGTCAAATTGAACAGTGTCATATTCCTTGAGATCAATTGTTGTTCATTGAAATTTTTCACAATCTGCTAGATTGTAGGTCACACTATTTTTTGTGAGGATTTCTCATTTCCTTTGGCTACTTAATCACCAAACGAAAATCTTAAAAGGGCTACTATTTATTTAACATTTTCCTTGATGTAATGTTAAGTCATCAAGAGCTATATCACTGGTATAAGATGTTCCCACATGTCCCTCTAATTCAATCTGTAATACACAATAAATTCAAATAAATTCATGAGTAATCTGCACTCTGACATGGGACTTATTACAGTTGAATAGTAATCAGTATCAGTTATGCTGACTGCATGTAGAATTTCACAGTTGCATTATTTTGAATGAATTTATCAGTATGGTAAACTATGATAACTACGAAATTTGAATTTCAATAATGACTTGGTGTAACATACCTTAAAAGAAGCTGGTGAGGGAACATTGATATTAACTCTATATCTGAGCCATCTATCACCTTGATCACCGGTTACTTGATGGATTAATTGTCTATTATTACCAATTCTTGCATATACTCTAAAATATCCCATACTCTGACCATACATATCAAAATAGAAATCTAAACAGTATTCTCCAGATGGGTACATTGGTGATGTCAGAAAAGCAGATTGACTGTAGTGTCCAGATGCTTCTACATACAGATAATGTCCTGTAATCAAATAAAGGAATAAATTAATAAATGCATAAGTAAAGTGATATCGTATTGCGTTTACAATTTAGAAAGTCGTTGTTAATTCACATAGTCAAACATCGTCTGGGATTCTTTTTCCAATGTTATTTTTTATGGTTTTAAATGATCTGTCGCTGGTTCCAAGCTCAGCCATGTGCACTTATCTTTATTTTGAGTAGCTTATCTTTATTGAAACACAAAGCTTTCCTTATAAAGAAAATGGCAAATTACCAAGGGGAGATCCTGAGTGGTCACCAGAAGGTCCAGTTCCTTGGCTTGGTGTCTTGCCTTCTCTAATTGCCCATCCTACTGAACCAGCTTCGTTCAACCAACCACAAGCTCCATTCTCAAATGTACATGTTCCCGGAGTTCCGTGTACGACTAAAATCACGTGGAAAATATATTACGTTACGTTAAGGACAAATGTTGTACCAGAGGATGTGAAAAATTAGTTTTGATAAAAGTATGTCAACTAGTCCATGGTCATCCCCATTTATATGTGTCCACAAAGCAGATTGTTCTCTCCATTGAAATTCATAAAAGTTACCATGGACAGTGTTTTCTGTCACACGCAACCAATAATTGATAAATAATAGCACCAACCACGTCAACGTATTAACTGGATTGGACAATAAAACCGGGTATTGACAATTCTAAAACTCATTTCATTATTTCATTCGAAACAGGGTACGTTTAGAAAATACATGAATATCTTCATCATCACCAAAAAGAGTAAATGTTTTTCATTTGAATGATACAGTGGTGTAACCTATTTTCGTGCATATAAGGATTCAACACAAAATTCAAAGTTAAAAAAACTGAATTTTTTTTTCTGTCTTAATTTTCCTCAGATATTCTACAAAATAAGTAAAATTGGTTTGTTTCGATTTTCTTTATGGATCCCTCACTTTGAGCCATATTTCATGAGTAACCAACTCGACAACGGCGACAAAATGCGTCACCCATTTCCGTATACAATGTTTGATCTATAAATAAGTCGAGAAAAACACGTTATATGGATACCCGGTGGTATAATTAACTTCCCTTAGTATTTATCTTTAATATCAGTTCATTATAACTAGTGACAATTCCTTCAAAGAACAACGATATATATAAAGAAAATAGTAATTGACAAAATAAGATACGTAGCGTGATTGCTAAAAGTCATTGAAACAACATAAGAATATGGAATTCCGATTACGGCTAGGGATTATAATGAAATTCGGCCGATAAAAAATTGTGACGTTTGATAATAAGTGACATCCGCCATTTTGTATTTGTCAAAGTATACATTAATACATTTTACCTTGCTTGAAACTACTGGATTCATTCTAATAGCTGACATTGTACAAATAACCCATGTTAATCAAAACAAGCAAAAACTGAGGTCACGCAAGGTCGCACATGTAAATTATCAAACATCTTCGGAAATATACGAAAAATAGGTTAGCACGAAATAAGGTTACTCGACTGTATAAACTTACTTGGTGCTTGAGTTGGGGTAGGTGCTGAAAGAGAAATGAAAGTTTATATTCAAGACCCATAATGTGGTGATCACAATTTTGTGATGGTAAATTATTTTCTTAGTTCAGAGGTTTTTAACCTGAGGGTAATTAATTACCTCTAATGAGGTAATTTTGAAATTATTTAGAGGTACCGAGTGCTTTGTAGTCTAGCATACAATTTGCAGAGAGAACCTAAGAGAAAATTATGAAATAGTAAGGAGTAGGGAAGAAGGGGTAATGCAATCGATCAACGATCCTGAAGGGGTAATAGAACGAAAAAGGTTGAAAACCCCTGAAATAGTTATTGATAGCCTACTCCCTGAAATTTTAACTTTCTCCTTGATGTTTGTGGTGAAGAAATATTAGCACCATTTACTTACTGTTCCCCGTGGATGTTGGTCTTGAAATACAACCATATAAGATTTGAATCTCTTTGACATCAATGGGACTTAAATGGGTGCGTTGTCCAATGCTGACTCCGCGTTGTTTAGGAATGATGGTTGGCTTTCTTCGGTCTTGAGAAAATGCGTATGCACTGTAGTGCATGACGGATTCATAGTCGTATGGTTGCCCAAGTTCGTCGATAAAGCCGAGTTGATACTTGTCGAAATTTCGTTCATGACCTGTGAATAGAAAGTGAATACTTACTATTTCCTGTACCAGTTGGGCGTGGGATGCAACCATACAAAATCTGAATTTCCTTTATATCAATAGGACTGAGATGGGTTCTTTGTCCAATGGTAACACCTCTTTGTTTAGGAATAATTGTTGGCCTCCTTCGATCTTGAGAAAAGGCGTATGCACTATAATGCATAACTGACTCGTAGTCATAAGGTTCTCCAAGTTCGTCAATGTATCCTAATTGGTACTTGTCGAAATTATGTTCCCGACCTACAACGACATTGAATTGTGCATGTCTCATAATGCAAAAAGCTTTAAATAGGAGTATCCCATTCTAATCCTTTAAGGTTCTGCCCTGTTGATGACACTTTTGTTCAGTACTGATGGAGCTATAACGTCATGCGCTACCATTATCAATCGTTACAATATCATACCAATACATTAACTGGTGCGCAATGTGGCAAACACGTAATTGTTGGATATATTAAAAAAAATACATTAGAAATTATTTCTACCGGAATCACTGGCGGTAATGACGCGGGTGTCACCAGCGAGGCAGGGCATGCTTATCCTTCCTGTTTGCGACAAGGTTTGTCAAAGCTATTTGTGTTTACTTGTTAGTCTGATAGGTCGACGACTGCTGGCGGACAAGAGTGTTACCGAGATCATTCTTCAACCTATTGACTTCAGGCATGCAGAAAGTTATGCAGTGTTGTCAAACCCAGACGAAAGAGTAGCTAATATTGATTATTTGGTTTGTTTGTCTGTGAATGCAGTCATGTGCGAACCAAGTTCTAGATAGATACGAAAAAGGTATACCTACAATGATCATTGGTATTGAACGCCGGTATTTAATCAACTATCGACAGCAGATTAAATTGATGTATTTCTACCCCACCTTTTCAATACTTACCTGATTGAATATTGCTGAAGTCGATAGTGACGTAATTATCTCTGTCGTGTCGACTTTGTTCATGCCACATTCCTAAAGCATGGCTAATTTCATGCATAATGGTACCAATTCTTAGACAGCCTCTTCCTAACGTTACAGCTGAAGATGAGAATCCCATACCAACCGGAGTATGACAACTGCAAAGTAAAAGAAAAGGATAATGAAAGTATTGTGAGTAAGACTTAAACATATAATACAGCAAACATCTGATGGCCAAATATTGGTTGGTGCCAAGATGATACATGTAGTATTTGAAAAAATGATCATTTTTGAAGATTATTTGACATGATTGATTTGGAAAGCTTATCAAATGTTTAGCTTTTATTATTGATTAATGCATCGGGTTTAGATAGCCTTATATGACCGAAGTCTACATATCGACTTACCCAGATCCAGAAACGAATCTAATGTACCGCTGTTCACCATTATGGGGAGTAAAGGTGATACAATTTTGACCATTAACTCTAGTTTTATCTTCTATAGTTTTCATTGCATTTCTAATCGACGTCTGATCGAATGAAGCTGAAATGGATTGAAATTGATTATTGAGATTGTTAATAACATAGAAGATGGTAGGTGTCTAGACCACGAAATTGTATCTCGTTAAGAAATAAACTTTATACTTACAATAAGCCGAAGAGATTTCGTATGGCAACATACCATTTGGCCAAATCTTTCTTTTATCTACTATAGAATTCCTATCCTATTTAATACAAATAGTAACAATTTATCATCTTAATTCTCACTCACGAAATTGGTGTCCTTTTTTGGAAAAATATCAATATTGTTATTCAGAATACCTTCGTATATCTGAGCCAAAAATCACGATCTTTATTCAAAATTTTAGTTAATGCTGTTTTATTTACCAAAACTTTTCATAACAGCATTATTTTTAGCGTAAACTTTTCTACGATGCTAAATAATTTCTTAAATGCTCCGTATCTATGTGCATCCATCTGCGTGGTTAAGTTTTCATGTGTCTATATCTTATCTTATGGTTGTGTGTAATGTCGTGAAAACTTACATTCGGATCTTCACCCTCTCTCAATTCAATATCACCTTCAAATAATCCTGAAACATACAATTATTTTATGTAGTTTGTTTATTGACCATCATTTCAACCTCGCAATCTGGGAGAAAAAGAGAAAAAACTACAGTTAAATGTGCTTTTTTGTAGAACTGGTCTGGAACACAGGAACTTTTTAACAGATATTTAATTAACCAATCTATTTGAATGTTGGAACACAACTCCAACTGCATTTACTGACATCACCATCTAATCCTTGCATTCTCATTTCTTAGATACAGTACTTACCGGGATTTTCTTCTGGAAAGTCTTCATTAAAAACATCCGGTCCGAAAAATTGCTGAAATATTGATACATTATGTTTCAAAGGCATTAATTGGCCTGTTGATATTTGGTCTCACAATATGAATGGATGTGAAATTCAAAACTGTTGCTAATATGCTGAAGATTGAAGGTACGTTTATTAGCATCAATAACAAAACCAATGACTTACTTGCGACTTTTCGTCAACTGGAATACACAGTACAGTGCTTAGAAGAGAGAGAAAAACCAAGAGCGACCTCATCTCGACAGTGTTTAGATGAGAAATAAACTATTGAAGATAAGGTTTTGACTTATCTTTATAGTCGTTCAGATTAAAAACACTCCTTTCATTAGCAATTCTGACCTCTTTATTTCTAAAGAATCTTCGGAATGTAAATTTCAGACGAAGATGAATCTTGGTATCGATCCTCAAAACCAGATGGTTTACTCGGTGACACATCGTTAATCTGAACGAGATGTCTGATATAATTCAATATGTAGCCTATTCCGATGCCCATGGAGACCTCCATCCTCCTTTCTTTGATGTCATAAAGTTTTCTCGGGTATGAAATTAAGATAAATATTTTGTTTCAAATTCATACAGGGGGAAAGAAAGAAATTATTCCTGTACTTGGTCGGCTAACTAATCATCACTTGAGGAGATACATACCTAGTTTTATGTTCAAAATACGCTAATTAGAGAACATTATGAACATTTCTAGATTAGCAAGCTTGTTTGATTACTTATTGTATTTCATCCAATCAAGAGGCCTCAAAATCAGCGAGATTGAGACTGTAGTTTTATTCCAGAATGATTTGATATAGAACGTATTGGGAGTTGATGATACTTTGATGGTATGATCTTAGCCTGTTGCTTACTGTGGAAGGTGATCAAATCATCGGAATAAATTGCATGTAGGATCCAGTCGGTCAGATGAGACAATTAAAAATTGAAAAAATAGTTGTACCACTGTCCTGACAAATTTTGCAATTTGCACGGTGTTCATCAAGGGTGTAGGTTATGTTTCAATGCCAGTCAAGCTCTGATTATAATCCAATGTTAAATTAAGTGTTCAGATTATGTCAAGTAAGTAATTTAATGTTCTACTCCGTTAGAAACATCACATAACTCAGCCATAAGCCTTTGAATTAGGGATCATTACTCATATTCAGCAGCTCTATTCAGATTCACCTTGCTAGACTCAAAACAGTTTTTTCTTTTGTATAATTCCAGGCCTCAATGGGTTGGTTTCCAGGCCCTATTATACGCTTCTCGTCTTGAAACTCGTGCTATGCCTAACGAATGCCCGACCGTGCCATTACCAGAACTCACACCCTCCAAGCCATTAGCTATCGATCAACACAGCCAATACTTACTTGAACAGCATGATATGGGCCACACTGGGTCACCGATGGTAGCCACGGGTGATGGAAATTACCTCTTCAATGTTGCTAGTATTGCAACTTACGGCCACGAGAACTTTTCATCGTTGCTTCGAGTACGGACCTGTATCCAGATGTGCCTCAACGAAGAAACGTACCTAAGAAGGTCAGATGCTGCTGTCATGTCATATCTCCGGATTGCATTGCCTCTTCAACTGATGGTTCATATTCGTCGGCATGGACAATCATGGCTTTGGCTGATGTACTGAAGACAACAATCACTTCTATCTATCCGCCAGTAAATGGGCTACAGGATCATGCTTTCCTTCATCTGAACACCTCCTTCAAACCGAGTCAACCAATACATGGCACTGGAGAGATACTCATCATGTGGACCAACACAGCTATCAACGACAAGGGTTACTGGAAACCTGTGAGCCTCATACCCAACATCTATTCCGTCTGTGATGATTTCAATCCTCAGTTCCACAGCACGTTTGAAAATTGCCAAGACAGCCCCCTGCCATCACCTTTCCCCAGTTGTTCTACACATTCACCAATGTCTTCTTCTCATGCATCATCATTGGAACTCCACTTGTCCGTTCCAGACTCCCCAGTTGACGATAGAAGACGAAATGATTTATTTGACCAGGATAACATCCACACACAGCCTATTATGAAACTCGATGTCGTCCCCGATTTCGAATCTTTGCCGAATGGAAAATTTATGTCGGCCAAGGAGGTTTTTCTGCGTATAAAGGAATGCAGGCGTATATTCGAGGAGTGTCCGGCTGGGAATAAATCACATGAATGGCTCTTAGTGAACAATAAACTTAATGTGGTCCGCTATTCAAAAGATTTGAAACGCGAGTACTATGATGATTGTGGCATCTGGAACAGTAAGAACAGTCGTACCCACATTCAGGATTATTCAAGCATCAAGTGTATTTTCAAAAGAGGTGACAGCTACTGTACACGACATGTGAAGTCCGGAAAAACTGTTTATTTGCCGGTTCAACCGCAGCCAGGCGTCATTACAATGCATCGATACCAGACAGTTTTGAAGTCTGACGCTTCTTTCAAGAAACACGTCACGTACTTTACATCGACCGATGACACCTATTTAAGTGACATTGCTCTTTTTGAATATGAGGGAATATATAGAGTTAACGAATCAGAAAAGCTGAGAACAAACCCGAAAACATTCCAAAACATCGAAGACGAGATAAAAGTAAAACCACCGAAAAATATATATGTTGATCTAAATAGGGAAGATTCTCTCTTGGGTCCAAAAGACACTAAACAAATTCGAAATTTGAAATATCGAAAAGCTAAAAAAACAGAAGCACCAAGTGCTAATGTTGCAGATGAAATTCTGTGTGTGCTGAAAATGTTAAACGAACATCCATTTGTGCAACATGTATCTCATCATAAGAACAAAGTGCTACAAATATGCTACATTGAAGAACAGCTCGCGGATTTAAAATTTTTCCTGAAGAACAGTGATTCCTCTATCATTGGTGTAGATAGGACGTTTAATTTGGGACCTTTCTTTGTTACTTGTCTTGTGTACAAAAACAACAGAGTGTTGAGAAGAGAAACGAATGACCATCCCATATTTATTGGACCTATGCTTTTACACAAGGATGCTACCGAAGTTTCAATTGAGGACTTCGAGATCCGATTCGACCAAAGTATCGAGTTTGGAACTGACAACGAGAGAGCGATGACAAAAGCTATTGAACATTCATTCCCAAATGCCACGCGACGACTATGTACAAAACACCTTAAAGATAATATTAAGTTTTATCTCCAAAATAAAGGTGTGAATTCAAAACTTCGGAAACAAATAATGGAGCATATTTTCGGTGATTCAGGATTGGTCAATGCTGACGATTCAATAACGTTTGAGCGACTGTCGATTGAAGTCAAGTCTTTATGTGGCAATTTTGAACAATTCGTTCATTACTTTGAGAAAGTTCTCAAAGAAAGGCTAGACACGTACGTGTTCCAACCACAAAGGGCTAGCAATATAAAGTCTCCAAAGTTGTGGACAAACAACAATGCTGAGTCTATAAATAGAGTTTTTAAATTTGCAATTAATTGGAAACCTAAATCGACACCTGAACTTATAAAGAAACTGTTTGATTGTGTTGATTACCAGTTTATGAACTTAAGAGCCGCTCTTCATAATACAGGGGATTATATGCTTACGACAATTGAGAAAAGATACTTAGTGTCTGAAAATTATTGGAGGGTACAAACAACAGAACAAAAAAGGTCGATATTTTTAACGTTTTTAAATAATAAGAAAAGAAAAAATCCCCCTGAAAATATCATTTCGTCAGATGAAAAGTACCAGGTATCAACTAAAGCTCGGGATGTAGCCAAGAAACCTTGCCAGAAAAACGCCCTGTGAACATGAGAACCTGTTCTCGTTAATGTATTGTGTATTTATTTTGATGTATTATTTGTTTCGTTATTCTTATTTTTTTTGTGAATAAATGGTGTGGTGGTACTGGCTTTGATGTATCTATTTATCTTGCCTACAATAGGCTTGTACCTGTCCTCGATAAATGCAAGACGGCATGAAACGTCAGTCAGCTCTTATAATGCGGACGGATATCAAAATGTCTTTGATTGTTGTTGTTGAACATAGTTTTCTACTTGCCACAGCCTGTTAGGTGGCATAAAGTGACTTCACTAGATAAAACAATTGCTCATAAGAGCTGATAAAAATGATTTATATTAAATTGAGGTGTTCGGTGGTCGTCGGTGGTCTTCGGTAGTCTTCGGCTGTGAAAAGACGCACCCGTAAATGTGACCTGTTTTATAATTGTGTACACGATTGACTTGGATTCCAATATTAAGAGAACACTAGTCATAATAATTGTCAGAAATAAAGCACTAAAATCTCTTCATAAAAGACACTAATGTTTCAAATTAGATACAACCAAGTCAATAATAATTCTAATAGCTTGGTCATCCTTGTCACTAATTGCTTATAAAATTTAACACTGCAAAATGTAAATCACGAAAAGATGCCGTAAATGCCATGACAGTGGTGTATTTAGGGGCCATAACAAATTCTCCGCCTTCCTAGATTATATAAATTTTACAAGGATCCCCAACATATTAAGTGCCCTATTAAATCCAGAAATGGGAGCCGAGGTCAATTAAATCCTCGCAATGCCACTGGACATGAATCTTGTATTTCGATTCTGAAATACTTGAATGAATCATAGAGAAAAAAAACTGACCTGTAGACATACATATTCAAATTGTAGTCCATGAGTCACAGTCCAGATATACGAAATTAAATAACTAAAATATCCATTTTAATCTATATCAATATAATTTATAATGAAATGAACGACAATGCAATAAGGAAATAATAGTATGTAACTCGAACACGTATATTTTTTTTATTTTCCTGAAGGGACATTTTGAAAGATTGCCTGTGTTGTTAGGCATATGATTGGATCTCATGTGACCTACAGTGGTGTAACCTATTTTCGTGGATATAAGGATTCAACACCGAATTTCGTCAAAGTTAAAAAAACGAAAAAAAAAATTTATGTCTTAGATGTTTCCTCATATATTCTACAAAATAATAGAAATTGGTTTATTTCGATTTTCTTAATGAATCCTTCACTTTGACCCATATTTCATGAGCAACCAACTCGGCAACGGCGGCAGAATGCGTCACCTATTTTCGTGTACAATGTTTTATCTATAAATAAGTCTAGAAAAACACGTTGTATGGATACCGGGTGATATAATTAACTTCTCTTAGTATTTATCTTTAATATCAATTCATTATAACTAGTGACAATTCCTTCAAAGAAGCACGATTAAAAAAAAAATAGTGACTGACAAAATAAGATACGTAGCGTGATTTATTGCTAAAAGTCACTGAAACAACAATAGAATATGGTCCACTTTGTGTTCCATAGAAATTTTCTGCTGACACCGAATCCGCTAATTGATCACGTGACTTCATTCGTTGGATTATATTCTAGCAGACGACACTTGGAATTCCGATTAACGCTCGGGATTATAATGAAATTCGGCCGATAAAAAATGGTGACGTTTGGTAATAAGTGAAATCCGCCATTTTGTATTTGTCAAAGTATATATTAATACATTTTACCTTGCTTGAAACTACTGGATTCACTCTACTAGCTGATATTATAGAGAAAACCCATGTTTATCAAAACAAACTAATGCGGAGGACGCGCAAGGTCGCTCATGTAAATTATTAATCCTTTCCGGAAATCCACGAATAATAGGTTTCCACGAAATTAGGTTACTCGACTATATATTATAGCACGTGCCTGAGTAGATGTAATTGTTTGTGAACTGTATTTTAAGTTGGTTAATGGTCGAAAGCTTGGCAATACGTCTAATGATGACGATCATTATTAGACATATTGACAAGCTTTCGTCAATTAACATATACATAAAATATGTCATTATGTTGACCCGGTATCATGTTTGTTTCATTTTATGTATGACTTCAATAACGCGTCTCGTTGGGGAGTGGCCATATCACTCAACATATTGTTATTTCTCATATACAGAAAACCTACTTCCGGTAATGATAGCTTCTGTTTGGCAAAAGTACAAAGAAGCCCAGCATCTTTCATATACACAAACATATAGAGTTTTGAAGGACAGTCATTTTTATACGCCCACGTGAAATGGCGTATATTTCCGTCACCCATATCCGTCCGGCCGTCCGTCCACAATTGCTCGTAAACACTCTACAAGACACAAGACGGATTTTGACAAAACTTGGTATGTGTGTTCGTAATCACCCAAGGATGAACCCTATTGAAAATCAGAAGAATCTAAAAATATTTAGTATGAGTTATTGCTCTTGTTTTTGAAAACTCGTTCAATTTATGGCTTGTAAACATTCTAGAAGGTTCAATTCTTGACAGATTTTGAAGAAACTTGGCATGAGTGTTTATCAAAAGAAGTGTATGACTGAAGGTTGAATATTTCATACTGGTGATTGTTACTGTACTGCTAAATATATTTATTTTAAATCAAAGCTGCCATTGGGCGTTTATTACCTTTCCTGGCTATCTTTCGGGTATGCCATTAAGCAAGCTTAAACACCGTGCTATGGACATTCCACAGGAGTGATTAGCTACGGATGTTCTATTCGATGCGAGGTCGTTGGAAAACATTGATCTCACAAGAACTTCAATGACCCTTTCCCATGTGCCTTACAAATGACATGAAATGAATGAACGCCATGCATTATGCAATGAGGGACATTAGGTATGACAGCGACAATAGCCCAACCTTCATAGATCTATAACTACAAGCTTGTATCATGCGGGGTCTCCGTTTAATGGTCCATCTGAACGCCCATACGATTTTCAAATGTCCCGATACCATGGGCGCAGACGTTGAGACACATTTTACTTCGTCAGTTAAAGGTTGAACTTCATAGCATTGTATTTTCATCCCAATAATCAGAGATTAGAGTTTTCAAGATATATCTGGCAAAAACAGACTGAATTGTATAGAGGAAAAACTAACGACGTGCCGCATAAGAGTGAACTATTTTTTTACTCATATTAGTGATATTACTTATTTCCATTACCATATGACATGTCTTGGAATGCAACTTTATAATATTTGAATCTCCTTAATGTCAATGGGACTGAGATGAGTTTTTTGTCAAATGCTGACTCCACGCTTTTTGGGATGATGCACGGGGACCTGTTTCTATCAGTAGTCGACGCTCTCTATGACTCTTTCATATACTATCATAGAGAGCGTCGAGTATACTATCAAAGAGAGACTAAAAACAGGTGGGATGATAGTTGGCTTTCTTCGATCTTTTGCAAAATATTAGTTCAATTGTAGTGCATAACAGATTCATAGTCGTATGGTTCACCCAGCTCGTCGATGTTTGTGTATTTGACAAAATTATGTTCCCGCCCTGCAAGTAAACCCACATTATTTATCATTTATCAGTTTTGGAACAGGACTTGTATGAAAAAATATATGAGCGCATCAGTTTATTAAACAGCTAATGTCAATCTATTTTCCGCGGGGTCTTGGGATGCAACCATATACGATTTGAATCTCTTTGATATTGGTTTTTATTTTAGAACAGAATAATGTCAATGATAAGGGGTCATTCTATCATTCAAAGAAAGGTAACTAAAATGAGTGAATATTTTTCATTATTGAAATCCAATTATATGAATCTTTACTTTTATGATAAAAATTAGTTATCAGGTCAAGTAAATAAACTAGTGGAAAACTGTCAAGACGACGTGAGATTGTTGGAACTTACCCTGAACCATCGGCAAATCTTATATACTGTTTCTGATTTGTATGAGGTGTAAAATGGATACATGTTTTACCATTTACTTTGGTTTTCTCTTCAATGGTTCTCATGGCATTTCTAATTGAGCTCTGATCACTTGAAGCTGCAATACAAAATCGACTGGGTCAAAATTCGTCCACGCAGAAACACGCAGCAAAGTGATGTTTCCTTCGTATCCAAATGAACTATCTGTCAGGTTTGGACAGGTTTCGATTTGTATGATGGTAATTGGTAACTCAACACTTACAGTAGTGTGATGAAATGTAATATGGTAAAACTCCACCATGCCACAGCTTATTCTTGTCAGTAATAGCATTTCTATTCTAAAATAATGAGAAACTAGAGCCACTCGTGGCACAGAGTGGGACTTTGCAAATGTAGCAAATTGCAAAAGACCCCGAAAAAATCATCCTTCCACGATAATTAGATCAAGCGCAAGAACAGTCTAAAGTTGAGAAATTTTCATTTTTTAGAAGATTCTAATACCGGAAGTAGACGTCAGACCTCACAAATGAAAGTATCAGCAGATAGCCAAGGTCAATGCCCTTTGATCTTGTAAAAGAGAAGGTCTAAAAAGGTCAAGATCAAGAGATATACGTCATCAAAATTTCTAATTGCACACGACTATAAAACCGGAAGTTGACATAGGACAGCAAATATGAAAGTACAAAATTAATAGATAGCCAATGCCAATGACGTTTAATCCTACAAAGGTCAAGGTCAACAAAGATCAAGGTCAAAAATTGAAAATTTTCAATTTCCAAAACCTGTTCCTTTTTTTGAACTAAGAAGCGGAAACAACCGAAATTCTAAGACAAAGTGGCTCACAATATGAGGTAAATGTATGCAAAGTTCCATTTTGAACAAACGTATACTTTGCGAGTTATGCTCCTGGCCAAAAATATCAATAATGAGTGATATAACCAAATGTGCCACGCCCACCTTAATTTTTTTTTGCATAGGGTAATTGATATTCCAAATGTTATGTTGTGTTTTAAATTTCAAGCTTCTACATTATTCAGGTCAAAAGATATAGGTCAACAAATGTCAACAAAGGTCAAAAT